GGGCTGGGGCTTGTATCTTACCCCCTTCACAAGGCGCTGGGTTCTTGCAGGTGTGGATGTGGTCTGGATGTTGTCCTGTGTCCTGTGGTCTCTATTTTAGGAAGATTTTTCTTTGTTATATTTTCATAGCTCTATGTGTTTTTGGGAGGAGATTTCCACTGCTCTACTCACGCCGCCATCTTGGCTCCCCTCAATGTCATCATTTTTAAAAGCAGTAGAGACATGTCCTCAACTTCATCCCTCCAAATCCTCAGTTGAAACAGTTAGACTAGAGGAAAAGATGCTGAATTAATCAGTTCAGCTAGTCTAACTTTTTTTTTATTATTAAAGAACAGCAGGGCTTATATTGCTGTTTGGGGGAAGTCGCAGTCACTTGGAACTAAAAACAAATGGCTCTTGCTTCTGTTTCCCCGTGTAGTGGCCTGTGGCGGTTTCATTACCAAACTGAACGGAACCATCACCAGCCCTGGGTGGCCGAAGGAGTACCCTACAAACAAACACTGCATCTGGCAGGTGGTGGCCCCTGCTCAGTACCGAATCTCCCTCCAGTTCGAAGTGTTTGAACTGGAAGGCAACGATGTATGTTTCTGTGCTCTAGTCGACTGGGGATCATGTGGGGATGTGGCTTGGGGCTGGGAAGCGGTGTGGGGCTCAGCAGGCTGGCAGGTCACTTCCTTGAGTTCTGGCCTCACAGCTGGTGGAATCTGGGGGCTGTCTGGGGCAGCAGCTTCTGCAGATATAGTGCTTTGGTCCATTTGTCACTGAGAAGTCCAAGGACAATCAGGACAAGAGTGGAAGAGGTGGGTCTTAGGGGAGGGAGGTAGTCAGGACAGATAAGTCCTCTGGGGGTTACTGTCCAGCTGAGGTGACTGGAGGGCGTGAGCTGCAGCTGGGGACCAGAATAGTGCAGCAGCCAGTTCCCTCCCTCAGGCAGTGGTCATGGGCTGACCAAGTCAGCCGGGGGCTGCACAGAGCCCTCATGCCAGGGTGCTAGTCAAGCCTGCCCCACATCCACAGCTTCGGCTGGAGGGATCCAGTGAGGGTAGGGAGGAACCCTCCTACCAGTGGGCCTGGCTGAGTCCATGGGGCCGCCTGGCAGGGTGTACCTCTCAGGAAGGGGGTCCTGCAGTGTACCAGGGGTCTGGGGTGCAGGTGGGGGGCACCAGGCTTCTCCCCATGGTGCACCCTTACAGGTCTGTAAGTACGACTTCGTGGAGGTGCACAGCGGCCTGTCCCCCGATGCCAGGCTGCATGGCAAGTTCTGTGGCTCCACGATGCCCGAGGTCATCACCTCACAGAGCAACAACATGCGTGTGGAATTCAAGTCAGACAACACAGTCTCCAAACGTGGCTTCAGGGCTCACTTCTTCTCAGGTGTGTGGGTTTGGAGGCAAGGCCACAGGCTGAGGGTGCTGTGGCTTTGCAGACTCCCAGCCTCTGGGGCACCTGGCTACCCCCTCTCTCTGCCCTCACAGTATTTCTGCCTGGGAAGTAGCATACTTGGATCTAGGATTTTTTTTTATATCAGCAGCTATTTTATTATAGGGCTGCCATAACAGATTGCCACAAACGGGGTGGCTTAAAATAACAGAAATTCTCTCATAGTTCTGGAGGCCTGACGTCTAGGTGTGGGCAGGACTGTCCTCCCCACAAAGGCTCTGGGGAAATATCTTCCCTTGCCTCTTCCTAGCTTGAGGCTCCAGTGCTTAACTGTTGGATGGGCTTCATCTCTTAAGGATTCTTAGTTGTCCTCATGAAGTAAAAGGGTGCCAATAAAATACAAAGTGTTCAATGACAAAGTATCCACAGTGGGCAGTGGATACAGAGAGGGGCGGGAGACACCACTGACCCCGCAGTTACCAGTGGCATGAGGGGCTCGGGTGAAGTTTGTCCTCAGTTGTTAAAGGAGGCAGTTGGCGGGGAGAGGGCTGCATACGGCCCTGGCTTGAGCTACAAAACCGTGGTAACAACAGCTAGTATTTGAGTTCAGATGTAATAATAAGTAGAAGCCAGCACTTTGGGCTGGATGCTGTTCTAAGTGATTTCTCTGTGCTAACTAATTCATCTCCTGCTCCCAACAACCCTATAAGGTAAGAACACCATTACTGACTCCACTTTCCAGGTGAGGCAACTGAGGTGTAGAGGTCAAGGACTGCCCAAGGTCACAGCTGGAAGTGATGGAGCAGGGCTGGCGCTCTGCTCTCTGGCCTTCATACTGACCTGCCCCACAGGCCAGAGGCGGCATGGGTCGGTCGTAAAGTATGAGCCCAAGCCTCCAGGCCCCGGGGGCTGCTTGCTCACTGAGTGACCTCAGGCACATTAGGGTTCTCAGCCTCAGTTTCATTTCCTGTAAAATGGGGGCATAGGCCCCTCCTTCCTGAGGTTGTGTGAGAGTTAACTTAGATAACATATAGAAAATGCTCCGAGCAATGCATGGCAGTTATCTTTATTATTGTTACTATTATTATTATGATTAATATTAGCCTCTCCTCCCTTAAGGAGCTCCTTGTTTGGGGTGGGGAGCAGGGTTGGAGAATCTGTACCTTCATTAAGAGCTTTAGGAGCCCTGGCATGTATACCAGGGGCAAGTTCTATCCAAAACATGCTGCCGACACCCCACCCCAGTAACAGGGTAATCAGAACGGGGTCATTAGGGAGGCTCCCTGGTGGCGGATGCTTTTGAGTGGGGTTCGTGCCAGGAGGGACGTTCCCAAGCCAGTGGTTCCCCTCAGGAGAATCCGTTGCTCTCCCCAGACAAGGACGAGTGTGCCAAGGACAATGGTGGGTGCCAGCATGAGTGTGTGAACACGTTCGGCAGCTACCTGTGCAGGTGCAGGAACGGCTATCGGCTCCACGAGAATGGGCTCGACTGTAAAGAAGGTGAGGCCGGGCCACTGCTGGGTGGCCGCGGGCAGGGGTGCGCGGTGCTAACCTTGGCCACTGGGGTGTATGGGGGGCTGAGAGATCCTCGGGCCCTTCCTCCTACTAGGTCTGCCCAGGCCGGAGCCTCTCAGAGGCTCGGCACCTGCCCTCCCTCCTCCTGCCCTTTAGCTGAAGAGTGATTTTTTTTCCCCAGGACAGTTCCCTCCTTCAGGAGTCATGGAAGGCCCTCAGGTGCTTTCCCTAGACTCCAAATTAGGACTACCAGGTTTAAAGCCTGGCCTTGCTACTTACTAGCTGTGTGACTTTGGGCATTACTTAACTTCTCTGAGCCTCAGTTTCCTTTTCTGTTTAAAAGGGTCTAAACACAACCCCCTTCTTAAAGGTTTGTGAGGATTAAATGAAAGCATTCCTAGAATATATTTTAGACAGTCTGGCACATATTAAGCACTTAAAATGTCAATAAATATACATCATCTATATTCTAATATTATTTACCATATGCAGATCTAATAAAACAGAATTGGGAAAACTTTGCTCCCTGCTGCATTCACTCCTGGGAGTTCTTCAGGGCCCCATGGCTTTGGCTATCCAGTCATTCAAATAGCCTCCCTCTGTTCTCACCCTGTCCTGGGAAGGGAATTTGAGCATCTCTAGAAACACATAGGTCTCCAGCCACAGGGCCCTGAAAAGGACGTCAGGGTGAGGAGGTGTGTGAAGACCTGACACCTCTTCTCATTTCAGAGTTAGGAGATTTGGCTGAGGTGCACAGAGTCTGGTCAGGGCCTACCTGGAACATCACAGGATGAGCTAAGATGTTTTGATCACCAGGCAAATTCTAGCTATTGTCCAAAATGCTACTCACTGAGCAAGTCCTGGGACCTCCCTTTGCTAATAGCACTGCAGTCAGAGCAACACCTGTAGCCTTCAAATGAAACTGCTTTGACAAACTAAAGTCCGTAGTTGGAAGGCATGGTCAGGAGGACCTTTGTTAGCACTTTCACGTGCATCATCTCATGTAAGCCACATCCCCCTACTACAAGATTGGCACCCCGTTTACAAATAAGGACACCAGGACTTACATAAATGCCCGAAGCTCCGCAGCTTGCAGGTGGTGGAACCAGGGCTTGGGCCAAAGTCCACCTGACCCCAGGGCCTGTGATCTTAACCACTAGCTCTACCATATTTCCAAACTTAACCATCATGTAAATAATAATAGGAGGAAATATGACTTGGCTCCTGAGCCACTACCAGAAGGCAGCAAAGCCAAATAAATCAGCAAATCCCTGAGCCAGGGACACTTGATTCAGGATGACCCGTCCCAGACACTTGACAGCCACCATGTGACAAGTAAGAGCGAGGAGAGGAGACTCTCCTGGAACGCTGCCCATGAGTGAATTGCTTCTCTCTCTGTGCCTGTCCCCCTGCCCCCCAGCTGGCTGTGTGCACAAGATCAGCAGTGCAGAGGGGACCCTGGCGAGCCCCAACTGGCCTGACAAATACCCCAGTCGGAGGGAGTGTACCTGGAACATCTTTACAACTGCGGGCCACAGGGTCAAACTCGTGAGTCATTTTAGTGGTTTATGCTCAACACGGACTTGGGTTGCAGACAGCCTTGGGTTGGATTTCTGCTCTGCTACTTCCCAGCTCTGAAGCATGGGGAAGTTAATCGACATTTCCAGGACTCAGTTTCATTATCTGGAAAATGGGGATGCTGATGAAACCTACCTCATGAAGATGTTGTGCTAAATTAAAGAAAGGATACCCAGGAAGCTTTCAGCACAGGGTGGCAGTGGGAAAAGCCCTGTAAACAACGTGTTCACAGTGGTACCAGTAGGAGGTGGCACCCAGCACACATATCTGCAGTGCTGTTTGAGATTCTGTTGTTTCCAGTTTTAGTTTTTTACAAAAACTAAAATCAAGTCAAAAATGCAGTCAGCACAGAGGGTTGGAGAGTGGGAATGAGAAATTTTCAGATCCTCCATGCCCACTGTAGAAATGACCCCTCTGAACATTTTCTTGTGAACCCTTCAGAAATGTCCTATGCACACAGTCATGTATGTACATGCATGGGAAAAAATATATACCCTTTTCCTTGCTCAAACTTCTCCAATGGACTCTTATATTCATGCTCTTCTACAGCTTACATTCTTTTTCAATTAACAAAAAGATTCGTTTCTTATACTAATTCTCTCTTCATTTAAAAAATACTCATCTTTTAACCCCTTCTTTAAAGTCCCATCCATGCATATGATCGTGGTCTGTGTATCATGCTCAGTTATTTCAAAGGAGAAACGAGTCTTTCCTACAAGTCTCGTTTCTCAGCCCTAGGGAAACAAATGCTCTTGCCGGCGGGAGAAGTACTCGGGACAGAGTTTTTAAGTGGGCCATTCTGACTGGAGAGGAGTAAGCTTTCAGAAGGGAGATGGGTTATGGACCAGTAGGGAGAATGGAGGAGGACCAAAGAGACCGTGATCATAAATAGGCGATCGCTCCGGGACTTGAGCGGGTGTTTGGTTATTCACTGGAGCGGTGAGGACAGGTGCGTGGATGGGCTCCCAGGCTGCAGCACCAGTGCTGGGGTCTCAGTGCCAGGCCTGAGGCATCGACGGGTGGAAAAGGCAAGGCCCCTCACCACAGGGTGCTCACATGGGCACCCCACTGGCATGGCTGACCATGTGGGAAACACTTTCGGCTGCTGCTCTATAGGGGCGTCAACGGCCTGGAATCTGGGTGCGGGCGAATTGAGGAGAGCTATTAGAGAAAAGCACGCCTTTCCCCAAACTTCCATCTGCTGGAAAATGTTCGCTATGGCAACATAAATCTCGACGTCGGGGCCAGGGGCCGGGCTGGTGGGATGGCGCCCCCTGGAGTTAGGAATGCGCAACCTGCACAACTGGAAGCGGCGCTTCTGTCCAAGGGCAAGATTTCAGTAGTTGGCAGCGAAGGGCTTTTCCTGTTCTTTACAGTAGTAACGAACCAAAGCAATCGATCACGTTGGCCAGAGTTAGGCCAGGCCTCACATTTTTCTGAAGTTCGTACATAGATGTATGTAGCTTCCTACATACATGTGTGGTGGATATATTGACCTTGCTGTATCACTTGCTACCAAAGAATGTGAGTTGAATACTTCCCAAGAATCTGGTGTTTCACTACATTGGAACAGCAATAGGGTGTCCAGTGGACCTTTGGGGAACTCCCTACCTCCCTGGCCCATTCCTCCCATTTGGTCTCCCAGCCTGGTGCCCTTGGTCTCCCCTTCTTGCTCCCCTGCACTGCCCCTGGCTCCCACCCTCTGGCTCCTAGCTCCCTTTCTATAAGGAGTGACGAGCTTTGCCAGTTACAAGTGTGTTTGTCATTCCTATGAAAGCCCACGCTGATGACGGGTTTCAGCACCTCCATCCCTGCCCTGTCACTCCGGCCCTCTCCCTGTGAACTGAGACCACCCCGCCCCCATTAATGTCTTCTCTCCCTGCTCTGTCATTTGGTCCAAGCCTTCATTTAACACTGTCCCTTCTCACTGAGTCCCATCTCCCTCACAGCCATCAGCAGGCCGTCAGCCAGTCATCTGCCCAACACCGGAGAAGCCCTACATTTGGGGCTGCAAAGCATGATGTATGGCTTGGAATTGTGGGGTTCCACTGGCCAGCTTCAGGGGACCATCTTTAGGGAGGACAGGGAAGAGCTAGGCAGTATGGCCTGGTGGTGGTTGGGAGTGTGGGCTGGAGTCAGGCTGGCTGGAGGTCAAGTCCAGCTGCATCCCCCTCTAGCTGTGTGAGCCTGGGCAAGCCACTGAACTTCTCCCAGACTCAGTTTCCCTTTCTTACTTTGAGGATAATACTAGCTCTTCTTTCATAGCATTATTAGAATTGAGAAAATGCCCATAAACACTTGGCACAGGACTCCGCATGAAAAAAACATTCAGCAAATGTCTATTCACTATGAGGATGATGACATGGAGCAGTGAGCAGTGGGCACACAGCCTCAGGCCCGTCATTTGTCCTGAAGGACTGCACAGCATAGTGTGGAAGTTGAGGGCAGGGACTCTTCAGCCAGACCTCCTCATCATGGCCCAGCCCTACCAGTGGGTGACATTGGGCAAGTCACCCAAGAGTTTTTGTGTCTCAGTTTCCTCATCTGTAAAGTGGGGATTATAATGGGACACACATCACAGGGATGTGAGAATTAAATGAGGCAACACAGTAGTTGCCCTTTACCAGCTGAGGATATGTTCCAGGACCCTGAGAGGATGCCTGCAATCAGGGATAACACTGAGCCCTATATTTATTATGTTATGTCCTACATGCATACTTATGACAAGGTTAATTTATAAATTAGGCACAGTAAGAGATGAACAACAATAACTAATAATAAAATAGAACATTGTAACAATATACTATAAGTGTTTTGTAGTTGTGGTCTTCCTCTTTCTCAAAATGTGTTATCGTGCTGTACGCACCCTTCTTGTAATGATGTCAGATGATAAAATGCCTGTGTGATGAGATGAAGTGAGGCAGGTAACAGGCATTGAGACGTAGCCTTAGGCTCCTATTGACCTTCTGATAATACGTCAGAAGGACAACCACCTGCTTCTGGACTGGGCAGTTGGCAGTGCACCGAGGACAGTGACAGTAAGGGGGACTACTGTACTTAGAGCACTTAAAACAGCTCTGGGCCCAGAGAAAGCACTTGATCCTTGCCGCTGTTATCAGTAAGTGAGGGAGAAGCTTTGGAATATGATGGAAGGAGCTCAGATGCCAACAAACCCCAGCCATCTCACCTGCAAAATGTTCACTGTAGCAATAGCTCATGAAATACCTGGTAGGGTTGTTTTAGGGACCAAAAGAGGGGCCAAATGGAGACCCTGTACAGAGGTCGCCATCACCATGGGCTCCACGATCCCTGCACAGCTGCTGGCCAGGCAGACCCATGTCCTGCCGCACCCCTTCCTCCGCCCCCCGGAGAGGTGGCCCCATCCCAGCTGAACACCAGGCCCTTGCCTCACTTTCTGCTTTTCCATCCCCAGACATTTAATGAGTTTGAGCTTGAGCAGCACCAGGAATGTGCCTACGACCACCTGGAACTGTACGACGGGCCCGACAGCCTGGCCCCGATCCTTGGCCGTTTCTGTGGCAGCAAGAAACCAGCCCCCGTGGTGGCTTCGGGCAGCAGCCTGTTTCTCAGGTTTTACTCGGATGCTTCAGTGCAGAGGAGAGGCTTTCAGGCAGCGCACAGCACAGGTACGTGAGCCGGGACGCCAGGCCTTCAGCCAACTCCCCCCGGCAGCTGGAGGTGGAAGGAAACGAAGGCTGGGAAAGGACTGCCCCTTATTCTGACTGTTTTCAGGGCAGGGGTTAAGAGGTGTGTGATAAAAATGTCCTTTTTTAAATGGAACATAGGAAACCACAGGGTAGGATGGTTTTGTTTTAATGTCAAAGTTGGCCGATAGTCAGGGCTCACAAATGCAGGAGCCAGTCCAGGCGATTCTGTTTCTAGGTATGCGCGCTTACCAGGTGTTCGGATGTACTTTTGGTGCCCTCTGTTGGCAATAGTTATGAATTACAGCAAGTCTGTAATTGGCAAGGCGTTGTGAGTCCTCAGGGATTCTAGCACTTCCAGGGAGTTTAATGGTAAAGATCTAGGCAGCCAGCTGTTTCCAGTAGCTCAGGTATTCCTGGAGGCCTTATATGGAAACATAGGACTTTGGCTTGTGAGGGCCAATTTGGGTCCCCCAGTGAGCCCTGAACCTCAGAGGTGTGGGACTTCGCTTATTTCTCTGTCAAATGGGATGATGAAACTGGCCTGGCTTCCCTGCAGGGCACACACAGGACTCTGTCAAGAAAGATGGCCTGTATGGAGGGTGTCAAGAGAGAAGTCCCAGGCTGGGAAGTGGGTGAGGGTTGGCACATGGCTTCTCTGTGGTTCTCTCTGCTCCAGAGTGTGGGGGCAAGCTGAAGGCCGAAGTACAGACCAAAGAGCTCTATTCCCATGCCCAGTTTGGGGACAACAACTACCCGAGCCAGGCCCGCTGTGACTGGGTGATCATGGCAGAGGACGGCTATGGCGTGGAGCTGATATTCCGGACCTTTGAAGTCGAGGAGGAAGCCGACTGTGGCTATGACTACATGGAGGCCTACGATGGCTATGACAGCACGGCACCCAGGCTCGGCCGCTTCTGTGGCTCTGGGGTGAGTCCCAGGGGACAAAGCATGACGGGACACACCTGGGTTTGATTCCTGCTTATTAGCTCCTGCCAGGATGGCTCCTCCATTCCGCAGGAGCCAAGTGGGAAACGGAGAGTAGTCAGAGAGGAGGTTGGAAGGTAGCCAGACATCAGTCCCTGAAGGCCAGGGAGCAGTTCTGGCAGGCGGCAGCCTCAGAACCGGGCTTCCACTCATCAACCACCTGGCAAAACCTTATGGGAAAAAGGTTTTTTTTGGAGCAGCTCTATCCCTTGTTTTATCCATGGACAGGACATAGACCTAAACATTGGGCTTTGTTTTAGGTCTTCTGGGAGCTACGTCACAACAGTGGGTGATTCACGGTGCTTAATTCACAGTCAGAAAGACCTGGGCTTGCATCCTGCCTAGCTGTGTGAACTTGAGTCTCAGTTTCCTCAGGTGTCAAGTGGAAATAACACTGGCCTTGTAAAGTTGTTGTGAAGTTCACACGAGATAAGATCTGCAAGTGCTTAAAGCAATGCTGGGCCCATCTGTGCTCTTAATAAGCAATAGATTCTATACTAGCTCCACATCTGTGTCTGTCTTTGAAAAAGCAGGGCCTGTGGAGCTCTCTGGAGCAGATTTGCAACACCTTCCTTTGAAAAAGAGCTTATTTTGACGCCCTTCAGAGCTACGAGTGCCAGGAACACCTCCTGGCAGCACTGGCCATTCTCTGTCCCTGTGTAAGTTCCCATATTCTAAACTCCAACCACAGCCAACCGACTTAAATCCTCCTGGTTTTCCTTTGTCTTTTCTTCAGCCATTGGAAGAAATCTACTCTGCAGGGGATTCTCTAATGATTCAATTCCACACAGACGACACCATCAACAAGAAAGGTTTTCACGCCCAATATACCAGCACCAAGTTCCAGGATGCCCTGCATATGAGGAAATAATGTCACTGTCACTGTTCTTGAAAGACAAGAATCGAGAATGTTTATAATAATAGCACCTTGTGAAGCTGCCCTAAAACAGTGCACAGTATTTTTCTCAAACGAAAACTCAAAATCTGATCTTGGAGGCATGTATTTGATGAAGTTTGGTCAACAAGGAGGGGAGATGATGTTCCTTGGATTCTGGCTGCATTGTTATCAATCGTGGACTTTGAAGATTAAGGCTTGGAGTCACTGACCATTAAAGCTATGCCTGTTCAAACCCACCCTCCTTGTCCCTTGCTCCTGTGGGGCAAAAGGCCAGAGCTTGGGTTGGTCATTTCCCTATTTCTAGACATGCTTCTGTAGGTGCCAGATGATGTGACTGTCCTGGAGACTCAAGCTGTCTTCCATCTGCCTTGGGCAGTGAGGATAAAAGGTTGGCTGTGGCTGGTCTGTTACTCACAGCTTTGGCTGGAAGCATTTGCCTTCTCTTGGCCAGGCACATATCAAACAGGAAACCTGAGAATGTGGACGTCAGGACTAAACAAGGCACCCCAGTAAGCAATGCCCGAAGCTCGAGTATGAGCATCGCTGTCACGAAGCTAGGAGGCCTCAAGCCTTTCCCCTGTGTCATTGGCTTTTCTTGCCCATATTGGGTTGGCCCATTCCTAATTGCATCAGGGGGCTAAGGCATCGACTATGAATTCTAGCAAAACCTTTCTTTGCTGGTGAGAGTCCCCATTTTGCAGAGAAGAAAATATCCTGGCTCCTCCCGATAATCCTTCACCACTGACTTTGAGAAGACTCCACCAGGGCTTGAGAGTCCATGGGCTTAGAAGAACATTTGCTTCTCCAGCTTTGGAGGTGCTTGCTGGGGTTGACCTTGACTCCTTGACAACCAAATCAAACTGTGTTTGCAAGACGTGCAAAGTCATCTTACAAGGGACCTGTTCAGGTCCCTTGCAGGGTGAACAGTGTTGAAAACTGGTTAATTATAAGGTACATAAGAATGATCATCTTGCAGAACAGTCAACCTTTGACTACCTTCTCATCATCATTCAGGTAAAGAGCGGTGACTTTGCTCAGACTAACTAGTATTCAGTCACCACCTTGCAATCAGAATTCACCACACTTGGCACTTGTTCTAGAGAAGTGTAGAGGATGTTGTTTACATAATTTTAGAGCCTCCAGGTATACTTTAAATAGTGGGGTAGTTGTGAATGGCATTTCATTAAGGCATCTATGGGCATTATAAGCTAAAAGCTGCGGTATGTTAGCTTTAAAAGAGTATTTATGTTGGAATAATTTTTAAGTAATGTTTACATAACTGTAAGTCCTGTTTGGTTGGTATGGGACACAGGACAGCACACAAGAGTGTTTTCAGTGACAGCTGAGACTGCTCCCAAGCACCAGCATTCCTTTGGAATGAATCATTTCAAACAAAGTATTTGTAAAAGGTTAAAAGTTCTAGTTTTTAAAGATCAAAATATGCCCCTGGAGGAATATGTCTAATTAAAATGATTGCTGGGAGTAAAAAAAGAAAAATACAAAGAAAGGTAGAAGAAATGCATGGGAATATTTTTTTCTTAAAACAAACAAAAAAATCAAGGCATTAATAATAATAATATATGGGTGTATATATGTATGTATGTAAAGGATCAGCTGTCAGAGCCTTAATCAATGCAGTGTGATAAATGCCAACCCATGACTACAGCTTTACTGAGCAGGCCCTCCTAGACTAGCCCTGCATCTTGTGGGTCTCCCTCACCAAGCTCTTCCTTGGCCTCTCTTGGTCCCTGATGTAGGTTCAGCCTGAAGACTCATATCATATATCACAGACCCTGCCCCGGGGAACTTTGATTCAGCAAATGGAGCAGCCTGATGGAGCTGCTTCATCCAGCTTGAGCTTCAGCCTGCCCATCAGGGTGGATTCCATTTCTCTGATATTTTTATTTTCTCAGGCTTTCTGTTGTCTCATCTTATTGGTCGAAGTTGAATTTGAAATCCGAATGCATAAGATGGCTGTTAAGGGTCTCTCTCCAAGGACATGAAAATTCTGTAGTTTCAACCTTTTGAAGCATAAATAAGATTAACTAATTCCATGGAAACATGGGAGGGAGTCAGAAACAGATTTGGCTCTGCTTCAGCCTTTGCCACCCTCATGAAACAATGGTATTTATTTTTAATCTCTTCACTATGAGTATTTTCAAAACTGCACAATTTCAACAATTATCAATGCATGGCCAATTTGAAACAATGGAACTCTTAATTTAGGCCTGCTGTGACTGACGTATTCCCAGAAAAGACAAGCTCTGATTTCTCTGGGGCTGGCCAGCCTGACCCTGGAAGCCCACGCTCATGGGGACTGACACAGAGTGCAGGTTCTGCAAGGGACCACACGGCTGGCTTCACGAGAGAAAGTCCACTCAGCAGAGAGACCCAGGCCCTTTGTAGTGGCTCTTCCAAATGCTCAGTGACCTTCCTGCACACATCCCCGGATGCAGATGAATGAGCCAGGGGACATTGCTCTAGGCTGCCTTGTCCTTTAATCGGGTGCCAGGCCTTGGCGATGTCACAGAGCTCCAAGACTAACTTCCGTTCAGGGAATTATCTTGACAACCTGATGAAATATTTAGGGTTTGGGTCTTCAACCTAGTCCAACTCTAGTGTGATCTGGTCTAGCATATGCTAGAACCTGGATCCCAGGGGAGGGACAGGAGCTGGAATTAACTTTAGTCTGTGGAATTTCTCCAAACAGAAAAAACAAGGCCAAGCGTTGATTCACCATGAGACCATTTTCCTCTAAATTCATATTACTTGTGAAATGTTCAGCCTGTTTAAATCATTTTTAAAATCCTGTTAACTAGCAGATGCACACTGGGACTTGCCACTGATCTGGTCCATTTTATCAGTCTCAATTCATGGTATTTTTGTTGCTCAGTTTGTGAACAAATATTCCCTTGACTCCCACAGACATTTTTCAAGTTTCCTTTGTAGACTGAGCTTCTGAAAAATAATCCTGAATGCCTAAAAGGTTTCTTTAAAAAAAGTAAAACTGTTTAGAGTGTTATCTATAAATATATTGTATTTTTTATTTCATATAATTTTACATCTCATGAAATGTCAGTTTCAAACAGAAGGTGGAGAGGAGCTAACATACGTCTGTCTAGAAAGCGTTGTTCCATTAAAGAATGTGGACTCATTGATGTGTCCTGGGTTTGTATTACTAGTTCAGACGAGAGCAGTCCTCTCGGTGATGATTTTCTCCAATACTGGGAGAACTTGGGGAGGCTATAGAAAGGGGGACCTTCTCTATGGCCTTTCTTCTCTGGTGAGTACCCGTCCCAGGCTCCAGAACAGAGTTTCCTGTTGGATCCAGAAAGTCATGAGCAAAGCTGAAGACGGCTTCAAAGTTGCCCCCACTTTCTTGGACCCAAACAGGCTGGAAATCTAAGAGCATAATTGTTGTGGGCATGGCCAGATGGGTAAACAGCATCTGGTTGTCCCTCAGCAGCTCTTACCATGTGTCTCCCCCTGTTCGTGTGCCTGAGGACCACACCTGACATCAAGAACTAAAGGTCACGGCTCCTAGGAGGTTGCCCTTTCTCTCTGGGCTCTGGCAGCACCTCCTTACACTCACCCCTCAGGCCTGGGGGTGGTAATGACTCTGCTGGTCTAACCCTGGGGTACTGCATTATCCCCCAAGGAGACTATTATGAACAGTTTTAATAAGCCCTTCTCAAGTATAGCAAATTGAATCTGTCACTCATTTTCTGTGGGGACCCTGACTGATACAGGGTCATTTCTAACACAAGGACAGAGATTCCGTCTAATCAATGATGGTATTCTTAGGTTGACCAGAAGAACTTCTGGGTATGTCTGGAGTTTTGTGGGTCATAACAGAGAAGGGCAATACAGGGACCACATTTTTTAAAAACCCTCAGGTCTTAATGCAGAACTATTTAACGCGTGCAATTGTTTTGTGTTATACGTAGACTGTCAAAGTTTTATGGCTTTTCTGACCTTTTGCAGTCACCAATACCTAAAGGAAGAGCCCAGTGGTGCAAGGGTTTGAACGCTTGATGTATCAGACAGGATAGAGTAACTTATGCAGCAATGAAAAACAACCCCCAGGGTCGGTGCTTTGCATGCGAGAGGCCTATTCTTGCGCATTTTTGGTTTGTCTGGAAGCCCTTCCATACTGTCATCAGGGCTGGGCTGATGGAACAGCTGCTGTCTGGAGCATTGCTGGTTTCTATGGCAGAGGGGACAAGACTGTATGACAGATCATCACGCACCGGCTCTTCCAACTGTCACTTCCACTCACAGGTCACTGGCCAAAGCAACTCATACAGCTCCTCTTACTTCAGGCTGAGAACAAGGTCAACTGGAAATATCTGGTGGACCCCACTAATGACTCTCACGTGTGACATTCATAGATCGGGAGATGACTGGAATCCTTCTGTTTGTTTTAATGTCATTAGCTCTGCCTTACTGATGTTTTAGATAAAGACTTTTACAAATCAGAATAAGACCACCTATTATTTAGAAATTTAAACTGACCAGTTGTTGGAAACCCATCAGTGTGACTGGGTGGCTACACATTTAAATGGTGGCAAAATACACACGATCAGAGAGTCTCAGAGTTGGCAGTACCAACCCCTCACCCATTAAGGGCACTTCTACAACTCCTAAGGATGTAATCTCAGGCCTAATACTTGCAGCGGAGGAGAGCCCACTCACCTCACCCCCTCCCTCTCCTGTGGGTGATGGTGCCAAGTTCCTTTTGTAGAACCACCTCTTCTCACATCCGAGGGAGTATCCTCCTTGGGCACATGACCCAAGCCAGACCAATTAGATCCTCTTCCTGGAGGTGGAGTCTTGACTGAGTGGCAAAAGAGCTGAGATACTTTGGAGCTCCTTTTCCCTGGGAGGATATCCTGAGAGGGCTCTCTAGAAGTCCCTGCTGCTGAAGCCTCAGGGGCAAACCAGCTGTCTTCCCAGAGCCTGGCTCCCTGGCCTGCTCTTCTTTCTGTGAGCACATCACTCAGCCACTAAATGTTCCATCTTCAATTGATCAGAGTCCATTCTGATGCTGTGGCCAGAGAACCACGAGTGACTCAGACACTTAGGCAGGAGCCCTGATGATTGGCGGTCTCAGCAACTCTTCTGTAGGAGTAACAAGTCCATCGAACCAGTGGATGTGTACCAAAGACTCAAAAAGCACCTCACTGGCCTCACACATCCACAGACAGCCTCACCAGAGGGGGCTGGAGCCATGAACTAGAACTCCTTGGTCCAGGTCTGGGGTCAAGGAGTGATTCTATGCCCACCAAGCAAAGTTAGAAGCATAATTTGTATCAGCCATGCTGATTTAAGTAGCCTCAGCATTGTTAGCTGTATCATCTCCACTTTATAGACTGAGGCTGAGACGGGAAGAAGTTACTTCACTTGTGCAGGACCACACAGCTTCCAGAAGGGCAGCTAGGGCTTTAAACACAGGCCTCCCTAAACTATGTTGTCTCCATGACATCCAGGTACCAGTTGACTCAGTTTAGGCATCATTGTGGAGTCCTGGGGACTGGAAGGCCCATGAGGTGGATGCCACATTGGTCTTTTTCAGTACAGTATCCTGTGCTTAGATCCCCACACTCCAAATCTGTTTTTCCAGTGTTATGTGCCAAAGCAAATGTGGTTCCCTGCCCTCTGCTGTCAAGCCCCAAACCCAGGAGCTGGCTTCTTTCTGCTTCTCCCTCCTCTTCTCTCCCCTCTCTGGCACACTTTTTCCATCATCAAAATGAAGTCACAAACCCATTCACTGCCTTCCATTCCCACTGTCCCCCTTCTAGGGCAGCCACCAGCATCGCTCACGCGGACCCCACTCCCCAGTCTCAGGCTAGCACTCTGGCTCCTGTAATCCAGGCCCCACAGAGAAGCCAGGCAGTCTTTGTCAGTGTCAGTTAGATTGTGCTGCTCTCCCACTGAAACCTTGAATGACTGCCATCGCTCTATGGTGGAAATCTTACTTTGCTCTGGTCTGCTCACATCATCAGTCCCCTAACTCACTCTGTCCCCAACCCTTTCCAGGATAACTCCCTGGTTTAGGTGGCCCCAGGAACAGTGGTCTCCTTCCCAGCACACCACACCTGTGTCAGCCCCAGGGCTTGTATATGCTGTTCCTTCTGCCTGGGACTCTCTTCTCACCTTTCACATGAAGCTTGAATAACATCTCTAGGGGACACCTAAAACAACAGCCTCCCGGTCACCCCATCTCTCCTCCCACACCCACCGTTTACTGCTGCTCCCGTAGTGGTTTCCGCTTGTGTTGATTGTCGTCCATCTGCACTCACTGCGACATATGTTCCTAAGAGTTGGGGACTCTGGTCTTCATCACCAAGGCCCAGAACTGTGCCCAGAAAAATGCTTGACATATTGCAAGTGTCAACAAGATCTGCTGAGTAAGATCTTGTTACGAATGAGTGCACTCATTTAAATGACCAAATTTACTGGTCTTAATTCTGTTTGCTTGATATGGGACTCCACCTCACTATTTTAAAGAAGCAAACTCCTAACAGAGAATGCATATGAAATGTAAAGCAGCCCAAATCAATGGCTTCCTCCAGCTCCCTGAGGTTCCCCTCTCAAACCTGAGAACAGAAAGGGGATGCGGCCAAACTCGCCCCCAGGTACCTCACCGACTAGGGAGTGCCCTCACTGCAACTGCTATAGCTCCACCTCAAAACACTGGGCGGGCTCCAGCACCCGCCTCCCAGGCATCCTCTGCGTTGATGCTGGCAATGTGCTGACTCTGTCACTGCTGGGACAGCAGTCAGTACTGATGTTGGGCAGCTGGGGATGGAGCAGCCAGCGTCAGCCTGTGGAACGCATTGTTTCTAAAGAGCTGCCAGTTGCAGAAGCTGCCAAGCTCTCTGGCCAGCTGTGGGATCTTTGCTGAGATGGAGATGTAGTCAAGGAAGGGGACTGAAAGGTAAGAAGGACAGAAAATGAAGGCAAAGAGGGTGGATGACCTGGGCCATACACAGCGGACATGAAGCAGGAGACCATATGCCCCGAGGGATGGGCCAGGACTTGGCTACTCCCCTGACCATAAATGGCTTGGCCAGGGCTCTGTTGGAGCCACCTCTGGCCCTGTCACTGTTGCTCTCCCAGCTGTACGTTCTTACAAATGCAAGACACAAGCTAACACACCAGCAAGAAAAGAGGTTGCTGAGGGCTGTGTTTGGAGAAGGTTCTTGGGAGGCTGAAGGAGATGGTGAGTATGGCTCTCAGTTTTTCTCAGCCTAACCTCCATAACCTCCACTGCTCTCTATAAACACTCTCAGGCTTGTAAAGCTTATGTCCTAATTCAAGTATAATTGCACCCTCAGTACAATGAAGTCAAGAAGCTTGTTTTTTAATTATTTTCCTATATGCAAAATACTAATCATTAAAAATACTTTCATCAATATTTGCTGATATTATCTTTTAATATTGAGATGTTGTTTGTAATACCCTACATACAACAAGGGTGCAAATGATATGTTTCAGCTAAATTCATTTCCCAGTTGAAGTGATGGTTCTGATCAATGCCTTTATCCTTATTTGTTCTGTCTGCCTTCTGCTACACTATCAGCAACGGAGATATTCATGAGTTGTGTCTGAAACTTTCCACCTTTCTTATTGACTTGTGGTTCGTATTTGCCTGTGACTTAATCAGATGGAGTTTGCTACGTTAGAGGAGGCTTTTGTGACTCCTTGATTAAAGAGATTATTAAGAGGAGTTGACCTCAGGCTTTGGAGTCAGGAAGATCTGTGATCTCACCGAACCTCTACCGCTTCCCCTCTGGCGATCTCCGGTGTCAGTTCCCACCCCGTGATGTGGGGATGATGGTACCCTCCCCATGGGGGGGTTATGAGTGCAGAGTCTGACACACCGCATCCCCCCACAACTGTAACTAATTATCCTGTCTCCCCCTCCTTCCCTCATAAGCAGAAAATTCATCATGAGCAACGCACAGTGACTAAGATCCTAATGTACTTTCAGAACCATTATGTAGCTATTACACAGAGCTTAGGCCAGCAATACATGTTTTGAACCAAATTTCGGTACTTTGACTATGGCTCTTCCATACATGCAATTCCAACAAGTCCTTCCCAAGGGGCTTCCCTGTGCCATGTGCTGGCCAGGCCATCAAGGGTGACACCACATGATCCCCCACCCACTAGAGTATTTTACAGTGGAAGCTGCTGCCACAAGCCTTAGTTCCTTTGGGCTTATTGTGTGAGGTGGGCAGGGCAAGTTAATTGTGTCCCACTTTGAGGGTGGAAAAACAGCCTGGAAGAATATATTTGCTGGAAATGGAAATGGAGACCAGAGAGTTTGCATCACTTTTCCAAGGCCACACAGCTCCCAAGTGGTGAGCCTGGACTCAAATCCAGATCAGGTGACTCCCAGCCCAGGGTTGCCTCACCCCACCCAGCTGTCTCTCTAAAAGACACTGCATCAGATTCTTCTCCATCTGAATTTACGTGATGTTTTTCTCCCCGTGAGAACACTGTAGTGTGTTTCTATAATATATGAATGTCTTTCTGAAACAAGCCAAAATCTTCGTCATCCAAGTGTTGATAAATAGCACATGCTTGTTGCTGCCCTGCCCCCATCTGCTGTTCCCCCAAAGGAAGCTTTGTCTAGGGCCTGCCGACGTCAGTACCGGGACACACACTGATGAGGTAAGGTTCTGGACAGCTGCGTGCAGTGCGGGGCCTGTCAAGTGCCCCTGCAGCATCCATGGACTAGGTGGGTGTCAGCACGAAGGGCAGTGGTTGGAGCCCCTGAGCAGGAAGGCCCTGGCCTCAGGTGGCCCAGTTGTCACTTTAGCTCTATATCCTAGAAGTATGTCTATCTTGGTCTCAATTAAGAGCAGCCTGGAAAGACTGGAATCAGTGAGCCCACACTGCAGTGACAGAAGATGCTGAAGGGGGAGGAAGGAGCCACCGGAGGTCCTGGGGAGGGCCTGACCCAGATCAGTGGGCAGGCTAACAACGTGGTGTCCCGCTGAGCCCATGATCTTTAAATACTGACTCCATATTTGAGGGAGAGGCTGGGTGTTAGGTGAGGGGAAGTGCAGATGGCTCCCGTTTCCCCTGTTGTTCTGCCCAGCTCAGCTCCAGCCTGGAACCTGTGCCTCAGATGCAGCACAACCGGAAGCCCTTTCTTTCTGGGGTCTCTCTCCTGGGAAGGGGGGTAAGGAGCAGGCGCTCTTCCTGGAGCACACCCCTCGGGGGTCTTACTTCCTAAACCAAGCAGAAAGAATCCAGTACTTAGAGAGTCACACAGTTCCCTCTCTGAAGGGAGTTCTGGGAAAAAACAATTTCCATCACTTTGCTTAATTTCTGGTATTGTTTTTGCCGCCATTTGGGTCAGGACCCCTCAGGCCACACTGGCTGGCCCCTAGATAGGGCCCTGGTTGAGGACCTGAGGAAGGGAGCAGGGGGAAGCCTGGCTTGGGCCTGAGGGAGGAGCCCATGCCCTCAGGCTCCTCTGTTTCCCTTCCCCTTGGGGTCCAGATGGGGAGTGGAGACAGGGGCTGACGGAGCCTGTGGGGTCAGTGCATTCTCTTGCAATCCTCCAGGTCAGCAGAAGTGGAGTGGTCAGGAGCCTGACTGAGCATTCCTGGAGGCTTACTGTTTTTTTCTCTCTCCCAGAGTTTTTCTCTGAACTTCACACTGTCAGCCAACACAGTAAGTACAGCAGCCCCCCTTCACCAGTCAGGTCAGCGGAGGTCGATGCAGAGTGCTCCCGGGCTTCAGAACGCCATCACTGAAGCTCATGCAGGGTGACAAGTCACACGTGTTTCAGGGGCACTTAGGAATAATGGGGGGTGCGCAGAGAAGTTTTTCCTTTTTCAAGTATAAAAGCCAAAAATACACATTTGAAAAGAAAAATAGAAAACCCCCAAATACCTGAATTCCCATCAGCAGAAAACACTGGAGTCACTCCTTCCACTTATGTTTGACTTCACATAAATTTTGGCTTTCGTTGTCTTTGTGCCTGGGTGTTCTTACTCTATATAGAATTTTATATGATAATGTTTCCCATCAGCTTTTATAACCGTAACTGATGATCACCTGATATTTCTTCAAGGAAATTATTTCTATTTTTGATAAACCACAATTAGGAATAATTTTGTGCCAAACACAGTTATAATTAAAGCCTTGTCTGCATTTAAGATGATTTCCTTTGTATAAGGAAGCACTGGGCCAGCAGGAGTGGACCACTTACGGCTCTTGAGTATGGCATTTAGCTGCAAGTGAGAATGGAGATTGTCAGTTAATGATGGCAGACGTCTTCAGTTCAGAGTTGGTCTCCCATCCTCTGCTCTCATGTTGTGTAGAGATAACACAGCCAGGGGTGGTTTCTAACCAGTGGGGGTGTTATAACTGAGCTAGGCATTTCCCTGGTCCTGTTTTCAGTGGGTTTAGCTGTGCCAAATTTTCTGGTAAGTGATATTGTTCTTCGAAGAGAATAAACTGAATTTCCCTGGTAAGAGGATGCCTATGCCAATTTGCATTTTTTCTGTAACTCTGGGGCCTAGCTCTGGAGAGCAGCGGAAAGGTAGAACCTGCCTTCCAGTGCCCACTACTGGCCACCCGGGATATCTGGCCCCTGACTCCCCTGGCAGGGCCCTGCCTTCTGAACCTCCCTGACTTGCTCCGCTCCCTGCTTCAGCCTCTGCTTATTGTCTGCAGACAAATTCCCCTGTCCCTCTCCTTACTTGTCACACCTTTTAATATGGTCACCGCTGGAACTTTCCCTCTGACTGCTTGAACTCAGCAGCTCTGTAGAGACCCCTGGTCCATCTTACCAGTCTTCGCCTACCCCACAAAGGTAACTCAGAGAAGCAAGGAGCCATTACTGGGGGTGGTGGAGGTGAGTGGGGTGAGAGGGAGGCCTCTGCTGCTGGTCACCAACTTTGGGAGCACCTTCCTGGTTAACAGCCCATCTCTCTGAGAACTGTCCCCTCCCACTTGGAACCTTTGTTCCAACTCTATCTGCCTGGGACTGTCTGGTATTAGCACTGAAAGTCCTAAATCCGGGCAAGCTCTCTGGATAACCAGGACAGTTAGTCACCCAACCTGGCAGTTGCTCTACCACATAACCCTTCCCTTTTGGTACAGTGGAATGATCTGGAATGCCAGTGAACTGGGAAGCAGGGAGAAAGGTGGAGACTCTGCCCATTAGAGTCTCTATGCAGGGAGTTTGGAACACGGTTACACATGCAAGTCAGTCCCTGCCAGGCCATACAGAACTGTCAAGTATAAGCACTGGGCTGGGGTGTTGCATTTGGTCATGGCAGTGTAGCACAGCGGTTAAGCACAGACCCTGGAAACAAACTACTCGGCATCTGCCACTTAGGGCTGGGTGACCTCACACGATTTACCTCACTCTTTTCATTTGTAAAATGGGGTTCATTATAGTCCTGCTTCACTGGCTGTTGTAAAGAATGAGTGAACTGATATAGGAAAAGCACTTTTCTGCCTGGCATATAGTAAGTTCTCCATAATTGTTAGTTGGTCAATTAGTAGGTGTTCACAAGGGTAAGAAAATCCATCTGAAGAAAGAGAAAGAAAGAAAGAAACAGGCAGAGAAGCACACAGGTCAGAGGCCATGCCACCCAAGAGAGATGAAGAGATCCCAGGAAGGATGGCTTCTGTCCTGACCAGTTACCTGTCACGAGCTCCAGTCTGTGGGGAAGCCGGATTCCCGCTGCCGCTGGGTTCCACGAGGCGCTCCTGCCTCCTCAGAGTTAACTCCTTTTCACTGTGCAAAGCCAGCCCATGTGAATTCCTGTAACCTAAAGACAGAACATGAAATGATACCCAATTCTTCTCCCCACCGTGAGAAATATTACACTTCGGCAAATTGCAACATTAAGTTAATATGGGGGTGGAATGAGACTGTGGTAGGTTTAAGTGTAACCGTTTACGTTCCAGGTGTCAGTGCCTGGTTATGGATCCCTCCTGTGAGGAAAGCTATCTGGGAAAGGTGCCTAGACTTGGAACTGAAACACACAATTGCAGGCTACATTTATGGTTATCCCTGGGATCTTGAACAAGACTCACAACTTCTCTAAGGGCTATTTCTTTTTCTCTTTTTTTTGTGAAATAGAGACAGTAATTAAAAGCCCAAGCCCCAGGGATTCCAATGTGTTCACTGAGGGTGATGAAAGGATCAGATAGAGCAGGTCTGACCAGCACTTTGCCAAGTTTAAGGGAATGACAAAAGCATATTCTCCTAGAGCTCATTTGATCCTCAGGACAGCCCCAGAGGTAGGTGCTTAACAGCCCTATTTTATAGATGAAGAAACAAGGCCTCTTAGCTTATGAGTGTAGAAATCACCAATCCACTGTAGGTAGTGTGAGCCCAGGACCTATACCGCTAACCATACCACACCACTTGGTGTGGCTCACATAGGTTAGTGGTTAATGGAGAACTGTGTTCCCTAAGCTGTATTGATTCAGGTAAGACTCTCACCTGTGAATCTCATAAATGGTGAAATCCAGGGCCCCTCCTTGAACTGGAAACATGTAATGTATTCATTCAATGTGGAATTATCCCAGGAGCAAAGCTAATTCACAACTTCAGACGGTCCCAAAACCACAGCTTCAGTGCATATTTAAAAACAAGTAAGTCTTCCTTCAAGAACTTTGCTTCTACCAGTATTTTTATTTGTTTCCCTTCTAGCAATCAGGACAAGTAGGTGCCAAGTGTGCCCGGAAGGGTGTGGGGAAGGAAGACAGGATAAAGCCTTTTTGAGGTGTCAAATGTGTTATGGCAAATCCAGAGAGTGAATAATGAAGCCATCACCTGAATTTCTGAATTCTCTCTCCTTATAACCAAATTTCATTCCAATTCTTACCAAGGAAGCATTCAAAAGGTTCTATTTGGCAATTGTCAAGTGTTGTTTTCAATAAAAAATTTAGCAAAGGGGTGAACTTTAAGCGTTAGAGCTTAACCTTTGACAGATTGTCTTGTGTAATATGCATTCTATAGATTTTTTCCTAAGACGTATATTCTTTTTCTGAACAGACTTCCTCCCCAGTCGTTACGGGTGGGAAAGGAGCAGTAAGTATATCATTGAAGTTATGGAGCCTTGGATTGGTCATTTGTAAAGTGGGATAATAATGCTCTGTTTTGCACATTTGTTTTGAGGATTCGATAGATTTTGATATGTGACTGACCTGTCACCAAGCACAGATTCTAGCTCAACAATTATTCTTATGACCAACTCAGTTCAAAAGTGAGGGAGAATGTGCAAAATCAGATGGATTTCACAAAGTGTTGAAGAAATGAAGCTAGACACAAAAGAGTACATACTTTCTATTTGTGTCTAGACGATGTTGAAAAACAGACAAAACTAATCTGCAATGATGACTTCAGCATACTGGTTACATGTGCTGCGACCTGAAGGTTGTCTGAGGGGGATTCTGGGGTGCTAGTAATGTTCTGTTTCTCATCTGGGTGCTGGTTATGTGGGTGGGTTCATCATGTGAAAAGTCATCAAACTATCTATTTATAATTCATATACTTTTCTGCATGCATGTTGTTCTTCTGTGAAATCAGCCCCTTCCCCCAAAAGGGAGGGGGACCCAGCATTATATGAAAGTTGCACACTCATAGGGATTCTGCAGGTGACCTTTGATGTGTCCAACTAATCAGTAAATCTGAAAACTATGTGGCTACAAGCCTGGTATTTCCACTTGGATCAAAGCAAAATGGGAATTTGAAAATCAATTGGTCAATAAATTTAGTGGAAATAAATTTTTAAAATTCACATCAAAATGATGTTAGGATATAATAAAACTTTTTTTACTTTTTGCCAAACAGATAGGTAAACATCCTGTCTAACTGTTGCTTTAATTGTATCTCAGTCTATTAAATTGATGAGACATTTGTATTTCAGTTCTTGAAATGGCCTGTTCCTATCCTCTGCCCATTTTTATACTGGATTACCACCCTTTTCCAATGGATTTAAACTATGTAAATTAAATCCCACGACAATGAGTCATCCGACATGTACACAGCAAACATTTTTTTGCACTATTTCATTGCCCTTTTAATTTTGTATATGACACTTAGGGTCCATGCAGGGTTTTGTTTGTCTCACCTTTAATCGATTGCACTTTTCCTTTACCCCTGGAGAACCTGCCTGCTTTTCTCTCTGTGCCAGGACTGCGGGCCCTCTCTTGGATTAGCGGCAGGCATTCCGTCCCTGGTGGCCACAGCCCTGCTGGCAGCTTTACTCTTCACTCTGATTTGCCGAAGAAGAAGCCACAGCGAGTCCACCGAGGTAACTGGTGTCTTCTTTGGGTCTGGACATGTGGGCAGGAATTGGTATTTCAGTGAACAGGCTTTGGGTTGAGAATGTCAGGACCCACGTCTGCTTCCTGAGGGCATGATGGCGGACGTTCCTGCACCTCAACTTCTGACTTTATGCCCCAGGCAGAGCCGGTCTGTCACACCACCCTCAGGTCACTTGAGGAAACCCGGAGTGACAAGGATGGCATCTGAGGTGGCAAAAACTGACAGTGGAGAGAGATGTTGTTGCCATGGGAAATGCATGTCTGTACAGTGGGTGTATTTTCTAAAGCTGAGAAATGAAAGGGCTCAAGCTTCACAAAAAGAGTGGAGGTAACCTTGGGAAAGAAGGACCAGCAGGGGCAGGGGCGTCTAGGTAGGGAAATGTCCAGAAGTACTCAGCTTTATTTATTGGGGCCCCTTTTTCCACACACTTGAACACACATCAGTCACAAGGGACCCTACCAGCCCCACTCCTTCCAACTGCCAGACTGCTCAGAATTCAAGGCCGCCCAGACCGACGTCCAGGGAGGTTCCATGGTTGTCTGGACTCTGGGTTGAATTGCATCCTCCATTTACGACCCTTGCTCATGTTCTCACACTGGTAGGCACTAACAGGGAGTTAGAAAACCTAGGTTCTAACCCTGGCTTTGCCACTGTGTGATTTATATGATCCTGGACAAGCAACTTAACATTTCCTGTGCCTTCAAAACAGGAGTCAAAAAAACCACTCTCCTTATTTTAAGAAGAAGGCAAAGTTGTAAGGATGAAATGAGATCATGAATGTAAAGATATGATGACAAGCTGTAAACCTTAAACATATAAATAAATATTGTGAGTTTTGGAGGTGTGTTTATTTAGGTCATAGTTGATTAACCTTCAGTGCACTTTAAAATCATCTAGGAGACTACAAAAATACCAATCACTGAAACCAATTACATCAGCACCTCTGAATGGTAAGGCTTTGGCATTGGTCTTAAAAAATAAAATGCACCATTTTTGGTCACAGGGATGGTAGTTCAGTATGGAGAATAAAGCCAATGATTCTGTAACATCTTTCTATGTTGACAGATAACACCTGCACTATTGGGGTAAGGATTTAATAATGTGGGTAACTGGTGAATCACTTTGTTGTATACTTGAAACTAATATAAGATTGAATATCAACTATACTTTAATTAAAAAAACACAACTTTTTATTATGGATAATTGTAAACATACACTAGAGAGAATAATATAGTGAACCTAATTATTAACATGTGGCCAGTCTTGTTTGATCTGTATTCCCACCCATTTCTCCATGCTGTCAACTCTAGATTATTTTTGAAGTAATTTATTATAGTATTTCTTGTTTGTTTGCTTATTTGTTTTTAAAGCTCTCTGGTGATTCTTACGTGCACCCAGGTATAAGAACCACTGATTTTAGTCATTATTAGGGGCGAATACCATGGCCCTTCATTTCTCCTTCTTTCTATTTTTACCAATTTAGGAAATTGAGAGGCCCTGTGAAATTTCAGAAATCTATGGCAGTCCCAAGATCGCTGAGGTAATAACTCTTGGCTATAATCACTGTATATCATTAATGTAGTAAAGAGCTGAGGGTTTTAAAGCCTTTCAGGTACAGGAGAAGAACAGTATGAGCACACGTGCAAAAGAGATGACCCAGTGAAGCTCAGGCACAGAGGAAGTTCTCACTGTATTTTTATTGGATGGAAAGGAATCCAAAGTTGATTTAATATTAGAAAGTCAATTTAATATCATTTATTTCACTTAAAAATAAAAAGAGAAAAGTCATGTGATCATCTCAGTAGAAGAGAGTTCGGAAAAATTAAGTAGTCATTTGTGACGTGAACTCTTAGCAAACTAAAAATAGAACAGGAACATCCTTATCTTGAAAGAAGATACCTTAAGAAAAAAATTACAGTAAACATCATACCTAAGGTAAAAGGTTAATTTTAGATCAGAAACAAAACAAGGATGTTCAGTATTACCACTTCTCATCAGTATTGTACCTTAGGTCCTGGTCATTGCAATACGATCAGAAAAAGAAGTAGAAATTAATTCAACAGGGGGATTCCCTTCACAATGTATACATATGTCAAATAATCACATCATACACTTTAAATATCTTATAATTGTATTTATCTTTATAACTCAATAAACATGAAAAGAAAAAGAACTAGAAAGTACAAGAATGGAGAAGAAACAAAATAGTATTTGCAGGTGATATGATTACCTACATAGAGAAGCCAAATTATCTACAGATAAATTATTAGAATTAGTGAGAGATTTTAACAAGTTTCCTGGATACAAAATTAATATGTAAAAGTAATTTGCATTTCTAAAAATCAGTAGCAATCAATTAGAAAAAAGAAATTTCTAAAAATACCACTTTGTAGTGGTATTAAAAATATATAGAATGGTTAAGGAATAAATCTAACAAAAGCATGTAATCCCTTAATGGAGAATAATAAAACTTTAGTAAAATATATTAAATAAGACCTAAATAATAGGAACTATATACCATGCTTCTGGATAGGTAGACTCAGAGCATAAAAATGTCAACCTCAAATTGATCTATATGATAAATACAATTCCAACATAAATTCAGAGTTTTTTCATGGAACTTAATAAAGTGCCTTTAAAACCTATATGAAAAAAGGCAGAAAAAATATTTTTAAAATAGCAGTGAGCAAACAGAACAAGTAAAAAACAATAGGAAGATGGTAGATTTAAATCCAACCATATCAATGATTGTACTAAATGTAAATGGTCTGAATATCCCATTAAAAAGCACAGCTATTCAGATCGCATATAAAAACAAGATCCAACTATATACAGCCTACAAAAACTCACTTTAATATAACAAATTATATTAAGCTCTGGCAATTGTAGGCCTCTCCTTATTTGTTATCTGTCTTTCAAGGCTCACCATTCTTCCTTGCCAGATGTCCTGGGTCTTGAAAATGGTTGTTTTAAATGTTTTGTCTGATTTTTGGTTGTTTCAGGTGGGAGGGTAAATCTGGTGGCTGTTACTCCAGCTTGGCTAGAAGCAGAAATTTTTGCTGTATTTTTAAAAAACCTATTTGTTTTCTCAAGAATCCTAGGAGGTCACCAACATATGAGAAGAATATGATGGGAACAGAGGAAGCCCACATATATGTGCAGACAGTAGCAGGAAGCGAGGAAACCAGGCATGACACCTACCGCCCTACTGTTGAAATGGAGAGAAGGAGGGGACTGTGGTGGCTTATACCTAAACTGAGCCTGGAATGATGCAGCTCAGTCAAGGAGCTTAAACAGAGCTGAAAACGCAGGCAATTGTGCTTGGAGTGAAGGATAGACCAAGCTGCTTCTTAATCAATCCAAATTTCATTTTCACATTTGGAGAACTTTTGGGTTGATTTGTGTCTTTAGGGGGCAGAGCCAGAGAGGTTCATTCCAACACTCAAATCTTGTGATTTAATAGGAAGCACCAAGTGAGGTCACTATGCATCCAGAAAGAGCCCTTGGATCTAGTTCCTGACCCCAGTGGCAATTTGCTTTTCTTCGTGATTTTGGGAGAGAAGCTTGATTTCTGTGTATCTTGCTTTCTTCTCTTTCTTCATATCCCTTTTCTCAAAAATGCCATCACACCTGGCTTCTATAAGAGGGTTGGCCAAGGCCAGCATGGTGCAAGTTGGGGTATAAATGAAATTTGAAAGGATGTGTGAGGGGAAGTATGTCCTTATTTCTGAATGCCTTGGGGTAGAAATCACAGGAGCCACAGGTCTGGTTCCCTGACCACCAGAGCAGCATGCAGCTGGATCACTCATTGCTTCTACTTGCACCTGTGGTCAGAGGGTATTTAGGGTAGGCAATTCTGCAGTGGAGTGTGTGTGTGTGTGTGTGTGTGTGTGTGTGTGTGTGTGTGTGTTGAGGGTAAAGCAGAGGTTGTTTCAAAAGATTATTAGAAATGAGGGCTACATCCATTTTGTAGGAGTGCAGAGAAAGGCCCAAGTCCTTGACTATCACGGGGAAAAACCCTATGGCAGGAAAGGAGCTCGGGAGGACTCTGAGTCAGTGGACACAGGACCAAAGGGAGTAGCCGCATGTGTGCCACCCAGGGGAAGCCTGGGGACAGTGTCAGCTGGTCTGGGCCAGCCCTCAGCACCACTTCCGTGAGGAGGCTTCCAGGAGTCCTGGTTCCCTCATGCAGGGCCATCGCCTGTGAATAGGCTGGATCTCCTGGTGGGAGAACTTGGGTCCAGAGCATCTTGGGGTCCATCTACCAGCTCCATGTGCCAAGCCACCTTGATATGCTATGGAAACATTCCTTTCTTACAAGGGCCTTTGATTACTTGGAAACACACCACTTCTTCTTCAAATAACCAAGATCAGGTTCTACAAACCCAGTCACTGATGCATGCCAGCATGTGCTTTTCCAAGCCCCTTGTGAAATTCAGTCTGTGCTGGGTTCCCTGGGTCCAGTCACCTTGACAAACAGATTTGGCCATTTCAAGGCAGATTTCCGAGGGATCCAGGTGCTTGTACTTCTTTTGCACTTGGGAAGGGCCTTGGATTTGCTGAGACCCTGACTGTGGCTCACAAGTGCAGGCCCTGGGGCAATGACCGACCACAGGGAGCCTCAGCTCTGCCCTTACAAAATGGAAATAGCAGTTGTCCTCCTATCCTCAGGGCGGTTGTGAGGCTGGGCTGGAATACACATGTGAATAAGCCTTGTAGTCTATAAAATAAAGTGTGACTTGTATTTTGGACCATTTATTTTAATTCCACTTACAATGCATTGCTTAGAATCTTTATTTCAAATTGTTTCTACTAAACTAGTGAGGTTCGGTATTTCTTTTTTTTTCTCCTGCTTCAATGCATAAGAACTTATTTTGCAATAAAGTGAAAATTCAAATGATCATTCTTATGGACCTAGAACATGTCTGTGGTTTCTCTTTGCCTAAGTATACAACATTGGTTCTGGGGTGGAATCAAGGTTATCCCGGGGTATTCCTGGCACTGACACTCTCTCTGATAATGAAGATGGTCAGGCTTCATGGAGGGCAGCCCTTGTGAGAAAAGCACTGAGAACAGAAGTCAAGAGCTCTGGTGCCCCGACCTAGGGCTGGTACTAGCTAGGATGACCTTGTGCCAGTTGCACAATGTGTTTTGGTCTTATTTCTTCATGTATCACCTGGTGTTTGGATTGGCTTGTCTCTAATGTTATATCTACTCATTTCAAACATTCTAACTTTGATTTCCCCAAATCCTGTGAAGTAAACCTCCCCCTTCTCCCACTCACCAGTCCTGTCAGCATAGCCTCTATATCCTCCATGATCTTGCTAAGCTCTTGGCTTTACAGGTGGAGAGAGATACTTACTCTTCCTGTATTTGCCAATAACAATTTTACATAGCTTTCCTTGTAGCATTTATCAGTGCAATATCGTAATGCCAATTAAAGACAAAAACATGAATCGCTAAATTTTGAAGCATTGCCCATTTATACAATCTCCTCGCTCCCACCATCCTGGTGAGAATTCTTGATCAACGTATGACATAGCATATGTGCACTGGTTTCCCTCCCGTGTCAGACAATCTGCCGGCTCCTATGACAGTATCAGAGAAGCAATGAAAAGGCTAAAGACAACTGGTTTTTCTGGGAGCTGTCTTTTCCCCTAAGTGAAGGTGGAGTCTCCTATCCACCCAAGGAAATACTACTAGGAAATCTTTCATAGAGCCCTTTGGCTCAAAGACATAAAAGAATCTTCTTTTGGGTTCAAACGAGAGAAGAATCTGCACTATCTTTACTTCTTTTTCCTTTACCTGAAGCTGTGGGAGAAGAAGAGATGAGTATGACTCTTTCTAGCACTAATCACCCCATATGACTGATTAAAAGTCTGATAATGTTAAGGCATAACTTGGAATATGCCTCCGGGAAAAACTTATAAAGGACTTTCTCTCTTCCACCCTATAATGAGGCTATCTGAACTCCAATAAATTAACAGATGTAAAAATACCAAAATTGGGCAGATGAGACTAGGGAACATTTGTAGGGAACATTGGCTGAGTGTGTCCAATAGATTGCAGGTAGAATTTGAAAATGAATGAGGGCTTTTGACAGACAGGCTATATGTGCTTGGGGCTTTAAACCCTGATTTGTAATGACAGAGAATCTAGCTTTCATCTTGGAGGTACATTTGCAGGGTTAAAATGAGCTGAATGATTTGACTACGAGTGGGAACAAGCCATGTTGGAAGAATTCTACCACAAATATGACTGACTAGTGATGAGGAGTCACATGGTGATTACTCTGACTCACCTGGCCAGGGTCTATTCATTTACGAAGGCAAGGTATGGTGAACTTGTCTTGGGCGTGGGGGGAAGCCCAATCTGTGTCCTGCTCCTTCTAGTCCCCTCGGCTCCACTGCATAGGCCTCCTCTCCACTCCTTGGAAGCCACAGCCCTTTCAGCAACACAGGCTTCCTCTCTGCTCCTCAGCACTTAGGATCCCCCCAGCTGCAAGAGCCTGCTTTCTGCTCCCTTGATGTCATGGTCCCTTCTGCCACATGGGCCGTCTGTCTGCTTTTCAGACAGCACAGCCCTTCTAGCATATGGCCTTCGCACAGAATGTTGATGAGATGGAGTAGGAAGTTCAGGGAGGCCACAGTCAATAGAATTTGTAAGGCAGAAGAGAGGGGAGAGTTGCATGGAGACAGAACCCAGGGATTCACAGAGGGTCCCTCTTGAGAACTCGATTATGTACTGACCAGCATATGCATGTGGAGAAACTACTGAAGGGGAAAAAAACACTTGAATGGGTTAGAGGAAATAATACCCCAGCTCACACAGGGCCAAGAACAGTGCCTATTCCCAAATAGCCAGAGTATAAAACATCATAATTCAGCAGGCATCAGGTACGTACTAAGGGAAGTATTGCCTCAGTAGTGGGGAAGAATAGTAACTCTTAGATTAAACTAGGTTAGTGCTATTTGAGTTCTGCCTAACAAAGCTTAAAAGCAAAATGCAGACAAATCAAACTGTTTCCAAGCAACTTAACCACATCCTATACCAAAGGTCACAAATATTTATAGGAATACAAAAATATCCAGCTCCCAACAGGTAAAATTCACAGTGTCTAGAATCCAATAAAAAATTACCATGTATGCAAAGAGGCAGGAAAACATGATATAATAAGAAGAGGAACACTCGATCAATAGAAACTGACTCAGAATTGACATGGATGATATACCTAGTGGACAAAGACATTAAAACAGTTACAAGTACACTGATGGACAGTGACTGCAATGGGGTGTGGGTGGGGGACTCGATAATAAGGGTGAATGTAGTAATCACATTGTTTTTCTTGTGAAACCTTCATAAGAGTGTATATCAATGATACCTTAATAAAAAAAACAGTTAAAGTACATTCTGTAAATTTAATAAGCCAGAAGAAGCAGTGAATGTGCTAAATAGGGACATGGAATATATTTCTTAGAGCCTAACTCAGACATCTAAAATTGCAAACTATGGTGCCTAAAATAAAAACTATACTGGGTAGGATTTAATGGAACTGTATATATTGCAGAAGACAGTATTAGTAAACTTAAAAACATATCAATAAAAGCTACTCAAAATAAAACACAGATTAAAAATAAATAGACCATCAGTGACCTATGGAACAACTTCACCTGGCCTTTCATCCCTAAAGTGGCAAGGGGAGGGGAAACAGGAAAAATATCTGAAGAAATAATAGCTGAACAGTTGTAATGATGAGAACTATAAACCCACAGATCAAAGAATAAAGGAACTTCAAGCACAGGAAACATGAATAAACCAAACCAAGCCTCTTCATAATCAAATTGCTCAAAACCTGAGACAAATAGAAGAATCTTAAAAGTGGCCATCAGGAATGGACATATTATATACAGAGTAACAAGGATTATAGCAGAATCCTTGTAATTGTAAACAATGCATGCTAGACAAGGGAGCAATGTCATTAAAGTATAGAAAGAAAAGCACCATCAACGTAGGATTTTTACCCAGCAAAAATATCTTCAAAAAGGAAAGCAAAATAAAAACTTTTCTACACATATATAAGCTCACAAATTCATCACCAACAGACCAGCACTACAAGAATATTGAAGGAAATCCTTCAAACAAAAAGGAAAATGGCATCTGATGGAAAGTAGGATGCACACTAGGAAGGAAAGCTGTCCTGGGGGGCTGTCCAGGCTCTGTGACCCGGGAAGCAGCAGGGTGCTGAGGGGGGATGGGGCTGGACTGGAGAACGTGGCCCAGCCCAGAGGGCAGCGCTGCTCAGCTCTAGCCCAGGATGCCAATGGGGATGTGGCCTACTGTTGCCATGACTTCTTTCCCAGAAGAGAAGCCATAATTCTGTTTTTTCCAAAAAAGCACTCTATCAAGTTTTAAACACTGGCCGCTAATTTTAAAGTGTCCTAAACACAGAGAAGGCCAAACGAAACATGCCTATGGGCTGTATTTGGCCCACAGGCCGCCAGTGTTTGACGTCTATAATACATAACAAAAACTTCTTTTTCTCCCTTTCAAGTTTTCAGTAGGTGTAAAGGAAGGCTTGGAAAGTTCATTTCTAGAAATTCATTTCAAAAACGAAAGCTCTGGCTCAGCTCTCCTTGTCACTGCCTACAGAACAGTGTGTCTTCCTGGGCCTCTGTCTGGAACTAGTGTGGGCCAATCCAAATCGTCCCATTCCTTCAAACCTGTTTGGACCCCTCCTCCTCTGTGAAAGCCTCCCAGTCCACAGGGCTCTGCCCTGTTACCAAGCCTGTATTTGCCCACCCTGCCCTCCCACATGGCAGCCCTCCTGCTGGTATGCTGACCAGCCTCTTATCTCTGGCAATATCATTTTGTTGCTCGTTTTCTTCTCTTGTTTTCCAGGCCTCTCCTTGAGAGAAGCTGATACAGTGAAGGAGAGATCTGGACTGTGGCATTCAGCCCTGACTGCCCCGGCCAGCAATTCCCTAAGAGACCTTAGCTCCTTGCTGATTCTTCAGTTGACCTCAAGGATAGTTTCTTTGATGTCAGAGAGGTGAGGGGTCCTGGGGAGTACACCTGTGACCTCTCAAACTCAGAGAGTGGGCCAAGACAGGAGGAGGGCCTGGGGCCTTGGATTCTACAGTAATGTCTCTGGCCCAAGCTAAAGTCCCAGACTCCAGTGGCCTTAGACACACTGTACACTGATCACAGCCGATTGAATGTTGGCCCTATCAGAGTCTGTCTCAAGAAATGGAAATGGGAGATTGAAGGATGGTGGGCTGGAGAGAAAAGCAAGGCTGCTCGTGGGGCCTCCAGGAGTCAGTAGGAGTGGTCTTGGTCCTGGCTGTCCCTTCTGAGGAGTGGGTGAGAGGATGCCCAGCTGTGCTCTGTCATCACCCTTGGCCCCCAGGAGGTCTTTGCTCCTTGCCCCCTTTACACCCCATGGGGTGTCTGGAGGAGTTTTGATTCCAACATCCTTCCTCAACCATTTGCTCACCTGGCCTCAGGTGCTGCTCAGCTGTCAGGTCAGGCTTGAGCCCTGGATGCCCGTGAGACTGACATGATCACCCTCGCTGCCCAAGGGCTTGGCTGCTCTTGCCTGCCATGTGTTGATATCAAGTCCCATCTCCAGTCACTGCCTGAGCCCAGCCCCACTGCACTCTGTTGAATAATCCAGGGAAAGGGAATGTGGCGACATTGGCCAACCTCAGTGTCATGGAAAAGCATGGCGAACTGTGAAGCCTGATATCCAATGGAACAGCAGGCCATGAGGGGCCAAACTCCTGATGTCCCCACCCTTCTGCAGAGGCCAGCTTTGGCTGCGATCTGTCCCCATCCACGTGGCCACCCCAGTCCCCTTTTCCTTCCCTCCCCATGCTTCCTCAGTGCTCACTCTGGCCTGCCCCCCTCATTGTGGCGGGAATACCGACCAGCCTCTCCTTCGGCTCTCTCCCCCCACACACACCACCAGGGACAGGCTGCATGGGTCCCCCTCCCCTTACCTCAGGCTCCTGTGGGTTAACCAGGAGCTCCCTGCTCCCTACGGGGGTGGAGGAAGGGGTGCCTGGCCAGGCTGGTTCTCCAGGGCACCCAGGCCTCATCCCTCTAGTCTCAGAGAAGGTCTATGGGGATCCCACCCCTGAGCAGGGTCTGCATGACTCCCGCTGGGTGGCCTTTGGTTCCCAAGAGGTAACCAGCAGAGAAGCTACTAAAACTCCCTGTGAACAGGGGCTATGTTTTGCTCATTTCTGAGCCCTCAGGGCTGAGTGCAGCCCTTGGCATATAACAGGCAGGGAGCTCATAAAAAGGATGACCAAATAATTTATCCTCCAGACCAGAAAGTTTTAAGAGGAAAAGGGTGTGCTCTCATAATTAGGCAGGAACAACAAGCACAAGCTGGAACTGTCCCCAGCAAATGAGGATGAATGGTCACCCTGTCCCTGTGTCTGTTAAGTGACTGAATGAACACAGCTAATGGCCCATTCCCGAATATTCTGGCTCAAGGCAGAAGAGTGTGGCCTTTGGAGTCAAATAGGCCCTGGGTTCAAACCCTAGCTTTGCTGCACATTAACTTGGCTTTGGGCAAGGAGCCCATCTTCTGGAAACCTCAACATTTCTCTCATTGATAAATCAGATGTCCTACCTACCTCAGGGGTTATGGGCCTGTTTAAGTGGAATAATGCCTCTGAAGCATGACATGGGGCACCTGTAGCATATTCAACGTACCTGTGGTGTGATGCCGATGGGTGCGGTGGCCTCTTATCTATCCTGACGGGCTAGACTGGGCAATGGAAGGCAATGCCAATGTCTTTTATCCCCTCAAAACCCAGACTCCGGGTGGTTTCTTCTGCAGGTAGCTCCCCCCACCACTTCCTCTCCTTTGCGTCTCCCACCATCTTAGCCTTCAGAGCTGAATGCCTGTGCTGAGCAGAAACATCGTCTCCCAGCTTCAAATAGCACCTCAACATTTACCAGGATTAAGTGAGACAATTTACAGGAAGAGGAAAGAATGAGAAGGAGACTAAACACTTGACTCTCTGAAGCAACTTGCATGAACGAGCCTGGTCGCACACCCCTTCCTGTGCCCTTGCCCGCATAGCTGCAATACCACCCAGTGGGACAGGACCTAATTCCCCATCCCTCGGAGCTTAGCTGTGTGACCTGCTTTGACCGCTGGATAGTGACAGACTTGGAAAGGAGTCTTGACAAGCGCTTGCCCACTCAGGGCTGCCTCTTGTGTCACTGCTGTCATCATGAGAAGGATAGGTCAGTTAGCTCACTGGTCTCAGGTGGGGGACGAGAGGCACAAGAAGCAGATCCTAGCCAAGACCAAACCCCCAGCCAATGTGCAGTTCTGTATTGTTTCCAGCCACCAAGTTTTCAGATGGTTTGTTATACTGAATTTTTGGCAGTACTTACTGATCTGCTCTCCACCCCAGGATCCCCGCACAAGAAAGGAAGGAGGTTCCTCCCCTGTGCTCCCCTGTGGGGCAGCAATGTTCTCTATGGGGCCCTGGGTCTCCCAACCCCCTCTTCTCTGAGGGTCTGGAAGAAAAGGGGAAGGATCATCATGAGACCTCCCAGCTCTTCAGCAGTCCACAGACATAGAAGCAGCTGGACAGAAGCCTTTCTGGTCCCTTCAAGGTATAGGGCTTACGTCCTCCTAGAGAAAGCAGGGGCCTGAAAGGGCCTGGAGCCTGAGTATTCCAAAGTCTGTCTCGGCCAGGGCTACCTCCCTGACCTTGGGTGCCCAAAGACGAGGAGACGGGCCACTAACAGCCAGAGAGGGACCCAAAGATGGGAGAAAAAGGAGATATTCCTATGGGGGTTTAGGAAATTGTACTTCCTTGAGAGCAAAAGCAGTGGGAATACATCCGGTCTGTGGCCTCAGGCTGGGACGCCCAGAAAAACGGCTCCATGGTGACAGAGGCAGGCTTTGACCTGAGCAGAGGGAGTCTAGACTTAGCACCCCTCCTCCAACACCTCAGAAGGGACCCAGAGCCCCCTCTGAAATCTCTGATCTTCTAATGAAACTTGTTTCTCTCCTCAAATAAATCTTAAACTCTTTATGCTTTCATTTCATTACATTGTTTAAGAATATTTTATAATATTTGAGTGAAAATATAAGACTCCACCTTCTTGTTTTCTCCTATTTTTATTGGAAATATGCAGTATTTCAGCTACACTGTATGCAAAGTGGGCTTTGATGAGCTTCCCTGGAAACAAGCTACCAATTACAACACTGTTTCTATGGAAAAAAGTTTTGTGAATTCTAAGCAAAAGTCCTATAAATGGCCTATTAGAGCTCAATCCATTACCAAGTGGTATCCTATCATGTTTCCAGAATTATTTATTTCTAGAAGCAATCTGCATTTCAATAAGACTTTAAGAATCCTAAACTTTCCCAAGGTATCTTTCACTATAACATGAAGCAGAATTTATTTAACTTGAAAAAAAAAACAGAAAATAAGTTGACAACTATTTTCCTAAGCATTTCTTTCCCATGGTTCAATGTAATCCAATCCCAGATGTGCAAAAATTTCTTCTTCACTTTCTGCTTTGAGAAACATCCTCTGAAAACACAAAAAATACATGCATTCAGATATTTTTGCTAAGCATCTCAGCGCTGACATAGTTAAAGTATTATTTGTAAAACTGTCTTGTCAGAATGAATTATTGCCAAAACATAATTCCCTGCTTCTGAGTATAAAAAATTATCTTGACTGACTTTTGTCATTTTTATATTTTTCCCCCCAAAAATATGGTACTTAATAAATTAAGGTAAAATAATGACAGCCTCATGTATTCAGCTAAGGGCATTTGGTATTTTTTCCTGTGGGACTGTAGTTCTTAACTACAGTTGTTCATTAAAACTACCGGAAAGAGCTTTTAAAAATTATTGAAGCCTAAGCTATGTCTCAGTTCAAAGAATCTCAGAAGAGGTCTTGTCACCAATCTGTTTAAAATCTCTGGGTCATTTGCATGTGTCGCCAGCATTACATACAGTAATATGCATACAGGTGATAAGGAGTGGCAATTACAATATAGTGCATGTTTGGTTCTCCTCTTGGCCTTCCACACCTGCCCCCACCCTGACCAGGCTCCCACCCCATGATCGCTCTTAGACAAAGCACCACTTCTCCTCCATCCTTTCTTGCCTACAGCACAGTGCGGAGTATGCCATAGGCACTGGCTTATGTTGAACTATTTATTACCTGTCAATTTGTAAGTATCCCTAAGATGATTTATGTGAGTCAGCCTCCACTCCCATGCTTAATATCTGAGGCTTTCCTGCCAGCACCCACAGCCCTCTCGTCTGATTTTTCTTTGGGAAACCACCCCTCCCTCTTCTCAGCCCATGAGGGTCATTTGAGGCAAGTCCCACCTCCTAGGAGGGGCACACAAACCAAGTCTGGCCAGTCAGAGCCAAAGGAAAGAGCTGAAGGATGGGCACATGACCCAGGCCAAGACAATGAGCATCAGCTAGAACTCTTGCTGGGTCTATTAGGAAAGGGGCTCTTCTCTGTTTGGGTGGCTAAGCAGGAAGGACGGAACTCATGGGAAAATCCTGCCTGAGAATGAAACCAATATGGAGGGAAGCCTGCACGAGCACGTGGATACAGCCACACCTGAAGTCAATTACCCCAGATGCTGCAGTTTTAAAGCCAAATTCCCTTTTTTTTTTTGCTGTGCCATTTTGAATTGGGTTTCTGACACTTGTAACTGAGACAGTTCTAACTAAATACACTTCATTTGGATGTAAGCTCCTAGAGGGTAAAGACCATTACTCCTAGTGATTTGGGGTCTTCTTCCTCCTCAGCTTAGTCTAGTATCCTTGATCACCGTACGAACAGTAGCCCCTTGGCACCTGTGGATTTAACAGCTGAATATTTAACTCTTCATAATTCATACAGTAAGTTTTCATTTTCCTGAGGCATGAATTTGGATTGCAGCCACTGCAGGCTCACATGCCAAATGAGTCACACAGCTGGTGAGTGAGCCCAGCTGATTATTCCTCTAGATCTCAGGGCAGCTCTCTTGCTCTCTTTCTTGCAATAGAATCTCATTAATGACTTAAGTGGTCACTCAAAATGCTACTGCCCAGTGCATGTGAGGGGAACTTGAGTGGCATTTGTGATTTGGGGGAGATCCTTCATTTTCTTTGGAGCTACTCATTGCAAATGCCAATGGTATACCAAACTCAATTAATGGGCATTGCTGGGCTGGTTCCTGAGATTCAGTAAGCTCATCATCTTTGAGCCCAAAGCTCCTAAGGTGCGTTCTGGGCTGGGGGGACTGTGCTCCCATCCATATCTTTCCAGGTGCCCTCAGCTGTGATCTGTGGGGCCAGAACACTCGGGGCAAAGGAAACTAAACCTTGATGGTAAAATCAGTTCAAGAAAAGTGCTCAGGGAGCCAGCCTGGGGTATGAAGACCAAAGTAGCCCATCTCAGGGTACACCTTTACCTTGGTCTTGTCATATAAAGCATGGTTATCCAGCGCCATCTTCCGCTCATGTGTGGCGTAACACCGGAGGTCTCTCTCAAACTGCTGGACAAGAGATAATGAAAATAAATTACTAACAAGTCTTGAGTACTTCAGTTGTTCGTGTTTAGAAATATCTAACTCCCTATAATAAAATATCTACACTAAACATTCTCAGAGCGATTTTCTCCCCAAGGCAAAGCTCTGCAATGAAGGTGCTCTGAGCTACCTGGGCACACTAGAATGCAAGCTCCCTGAAAACTTGAACCAGATTTGTTTTGTTCATAACTCTATTTCCTCCTTGAATAGTGCCTGGCACACAGAAGATGCAAGACAAATGTTCGTTTGTGGGTTTTGTGAGGATGGTGTCCAGAATAATATGTGGTTCAGAGTAAATGCTGGAAGAATAATAGTTTTTTATTTGGAACACCGCTATTGTAAAAGGGGATGAGAAGCCAGAGACCCAGATCCTATACTGGATTTTTTCCCTTTCTGGCTGTGCAACTCTCAGCAAGCCACCAAGCCTCTCTAAATCTCAGTTAGTCAAACAGGAGGATGCAAAGGGTCATTGAGAAAGGTCCCCTCTGGCTCCAAAGCCTCTCACAGGAGATTCTGTAAAACTGATGGTTTGAGCCAACTGCCCCAGAAGAGCGTCTCCTCCGATCAGGGGAGGGCTCGGAGGCTGCAGGGAGCAAAACCTGAAGCCTGAGATAGAGGACAGAAAAACCCTGGAAAAGGAGAACAATGAATGGCGTCGTCCTTGGGGTTAATTCTCCTGACAGAAGCACAGATTTCCAGATGTTGATCTTGCCACGTGGGATCGGGAGAAATCATGGGACAATCGCGCCCTCTGGTGGCGAGGAACCATTTCTTATTTTAGGAAAGTTGGCTGAAGCTGGGAAGCGCCCTTTCCGCCCTCCACCTTGGGTGTGTGAGAAACAGACTCACAGAGGCTCTTTGCTAAGCAACACCCCTGTACTTGCACAGACCAGCAGCTACCGCGTCCAGAATCTGCCTCATCATGATTTGTCCACAACCCTGGCTCCCGCTCCGCGGAGTTTAAGGGCTCACTCAGCTGCAGGGGGCAAGGGCAGAAGCAGGAATACCATCAGGAAGGCCATGGCGATATTCCAGGAACTGGTATCCTACTTTTATGGGGAGCTTACCTTGTGCCAGGCACTGGGCTGATTTCTTGCTTTATGTTAATTTTCAGATCTGCCTATTATGTTCGTACTTAACTTCTAAAAGAGTCTCAAAGACTCTACCTCTAAAAGAACAGTTTTAAGGACACAGCTGAACTCGAAATGTGCTAATATGAAGGCATTCTCTCATTTAATCCTCATTACAAGCCTGTGAAGTTGGTGGTGTTATTAGTCCCACTTTTCAGATGCGGAAAGAAGGCCCAAATAGCCTAAGTAATTTACCTGAGGACACCGCCAATGATAGAGCTAGAACTCAAACTCCTGAATTCCAAAGCTCAGGCACTTTTACCCTGGACAATTCTGCCTTCCGCTTTAAAACCTCTTTAGTTTCTCTCAATGACCCTGGGAGGTAGAGCAAGGACGTTGTTTTGTTTCAGATGCAGAAAGCTGTACATCGAGCAGGTGTAATGGTACTACAGTCTGGCTGTATCACTGGTCACGACAGACCTCAGAGGTTGGCCCAGGGCTGCTGCATACAGTTGTACAAGTTATGCAATGCAAAACTCTAGAGAGCGCCATTCACATTTGTAGCCTTTGCAAATGTGCATGTTTATGATGACAACTTTCTGGAAAATGGCAATAAGGTACCTTAAGTAAGAGATGCTTCTTAAAGTTGGTTAAAGAGTCCTGTTGAGTTAGAAAAGGGGCTGAGTTAACCTAGGCACCTAGCCACAGTCATCCATGTGTCCTGCCAGTGTTCACAGAGCGATAGCAATAATTTTTGAGAACTCTGAGAGAAGAGACTAAAATGTACTAAAAACATGTGTGTCTTAAAAACAAAATGGACAAAGGGCAGTCATTTCTGCCAGTGATCCCTAACCAGCATGACCTTGTTAAACCCAGGACTTCTTTCTGGAACTTTCTCCTTTCTCAACATATTCTGCATCCCCAAAGATTTGTTTCTGTCAAAGAAATTGCATTTATGATGTATTCTTGCATCAGTTTTTCCAAATTTTCTGCATGAAAGGTACCAGCCAATGTTTTTAATTTGGGTGAGAAATCCTAGTGCTAAGACCCTGTGCTGAAATAACTCAATCCAAAGGAAAGACACCCGACATTTAATTTAAGGTCGAGGACAATTTGTTTGTGTTATGTCATTCATCCACATAAGACCCTCTAAGTACTCATGTCACTCAGAGTAACAGCCAGCTACTTCGGGAAGCTGGTGAGATAGTGTGGGCTGCTTAGTTTGGAAGGTGGAGCCAAGGAGACTCAAATCAGGGGCACCACCTCTGTGAATGTAACGTGACAGGAGACAGGAGTTGTCAAGCAGCCAGTGCTGACTGCGTGCCTGGCGTGGTACTGAGGGCTTCGCCAGGTTTGGCTCACCTAATCCCTGCAACCAGGGACATAGCTAAGGTCTCCACCCTCACTTCCCCGGTGGGAAAACTAAATCTTAAAGAACAGTGGAAACTTGTTCAAGACCACTCAGCTGGGGCTTGTAAGCAGGTCTGGGAAAAGCCAAAGCTGCCCTCTTAGCACCCTGCTGCTTTCTCTACTTAAGGGGTTCTCACACTATAGCTGCCTCCCAATCACCCCAGAGTTTCTGATTCAGTAGATCTGAGGTGGGGTGGAGAATTCATATGTCTAAGCTGTCCCCAGGTAAGGCTGCTGCTACTAGTCAGGGGACCACACTTCAAGAATGACTGTTCTAAATGAATGTGTCTTGACCATGTGCAGGTGCAATGCCCCGATTAGGGTTCTAGGTACTGCCCCCCCACCCTGCCACCCCATCCTTACTGCCAATGTCTCTCCCCTGGGCCCAGGTGGGCCCAGCCCGGCCTTGTGGATCCAAGCAGTGCTTACCCGGGAGCCGGTCCAGCCCAGCAGGGCAAAGGCCCGGCGCTCATAGGGGCACATGACCAGGTCCACACGGATGGCCTTCCAGGTCTTCCCTTCCTGCTGGCTGGCCTTGCCACTGTCCACTCTCTGATGGTGCAGTTTAAAAATCAGAAAACATTTTTGAAAATGGTCTAAAGCATCCACCTTCCTGCTAGGCAACTTGAGTTTTTCAAATGTTGACTCCACAAGGTCATAGTACAAAAGCAATCCCTGAAAAGCAACAGAAAGACGTCAGGAAGAGTCCCCAGTGAACAGGGTCTGTGATTTTACACTGGGCTCTCAGTGAGCACAAAGGCGTCACAGATTTGGGCAGAATGTGGGTATGTTCTGTCCTTGTATTGTGAGCCCACCTGGCGACACGTGGAAGGAAGCCAGGGACAGGGGTGATTATCCTCCCTCAGCAGTGGAGGAATTTAACAATTAGAGAGGCCAAGCCGAGGTCACTTCGTGGCAAAGGTGCCAGAGAACCTCCTTGCCCACTCTGAATCCCCAAGCCAGCGCTCCAAAGCTTGCCTCATCGCTTTAAGAACACACCAACCATGAACACACAGCCCTGCCGTCTCTATGCGGCTGCTGTGAGTTAGCGTCTCCCTGTGTTACACTGACCACCGGGTCTACTTGGCCCACAGGGTTAGGCTTGGAGGCTCAGCCTCACTTTTGGGCAGGACAATTTAAGTGACACTTTGACACTGTTGCTCTGCCTGCCTTGGAGACTGAGAAATGTTAGTGACAGGTTTCACCTAAAGTTGCTGAGTCAGAAAGTTAACAAGCGACCCTAGAATGTACCCAGCAAGTTGTCACCCTCTGATTCATCTGTTCTGTGGGGTTTCCTCACTGCACAGGGCAGCTGCCTGGGAGAGAGAGGTAGAAGTATGCAATTAACTGCTAAGTCTGGGTGGCAACCAAAAGAACAAATAACCTCAAAGTAATTCAGCCAGAGCTACTAGGGTGTGCAATTTGTTACCATGTATTCTTTGGGCCAGATGTTCTCAACTTTTGTCATCAGAAGCATTCAGAAAGTTGGTTAGAGCACAGTTTGCAGGGCCCTCCCCAGAGTGACTGGGGGAGAAAGAGGAAATTTGCATTTTGAACAAGTTCCCAGGTAATGTTTGTTCCAGGTACCACACTCTGACCACCATTGGTTCAGTTCGTGTTGTTATTAGAAATGCTTTGCATTTTTCCCACAACCCTCCAAGAGATGTTGTTTCACATTGACCAAACTGAGCAGGGGATTCTTTTCTTTTTGCTGATTTCAAAAGATAGAACTCTAGCCCTGCCATGCCCCACCCCCTACTGCCACTAAAGGCATTAGGAAGAACAGACACCATTTGAAGGACTGGGGGAACATGGATGCCAGGTAGAGACTCCTGGTGACGTGGCAACTGTGGCCATAGCTAAATCCAATAACCAGGCTGGGAAAACACAATTCTGCTTTTTAATGAAACTTACTAAAATTAGTACAGTGTAGCAGCTCTTTGCATAAATTTGAATGATATGCATGTGGAAAGTGAGCTATTAAAATATTAACGAGCCTCATTTTGAAGCCATCTGTGCAATAACACCTCCCACCCCAAAAAATATCCACAAAGCTGGCTTCCTAAGAGTTGTAAACTGTGTCTGCACTATTGCCACATGATGGTGACACTTTGGCTGGTAATAGACAACAGGCCATCCTTGGCAGCAATTTCCTTTGAATCTTGAGAGGTATTTGGGAATGCATCCCTTGAATAAAATGCTCCTACCTGCACGTTCAGACCACTGTCAGCATCAGAGGCCACACATGCACACCACCCTGACGTCACCTCCCACTCTCTGGCCCGGGCTGTTTGTAGGGCACCTCTCTTCTGCAGTTTCCTTCTTTGCTGCCCCATTTTCTTTGGGTAACTTCTCTCCTTTAAAAACTCCTTTGAAGGTTTGACTCTAACTTCCCCATCAATACCCATGGGTTGACTGGATCTCACATGGCATGTTCTTTTTTTCCTACTGAAACTGACAGATGCCTGAAAAGGAGGGAGGTATTTCCCTGCTCCTGCTGCTATTCCTCCTCAGGGCAGTGAGCAGAGGGTTCTTGGGGTAAATGGGGCAGGAGAGATGTGCTCAGCTCTCGGTTTTGCCTCTCACAAAGAAGGAGGCTCCATGGCCCACATTTAGTCTCAGGCTCCCCCAACTGAGCAGGCAGGGGTGCAAAGCTGGAGCGTGAGGCCCTCCCACTATTAGTTAGCCAGGATCCATCCACCCTTTGGTTTGAATTGCCTCCAGACCCCTCTCAGAAGACTCTGCATCCCCTGTTCAAAGTCAAGTCAGTTTCTCAAGGTGAGTATGTTCTTTACACTGTATGATTGTCAATACTTTCAATCTCTGAGCAGTTCCATGAACTAGGGGTGTGGCTATCTAGAACAGAAACCCTGTCCCAAAGCCCCACCCACTGGGAGTGACCCCACATATGCTCAGTTAGCCCTCCCCTCTTTGGGTGTAACTACTGGTGGCCAGTGAGAGTTCAGGCTGCAGGAGCCTTTAGGATGGCAACCTCCCCCCAAATCAGCAATTCCAAACTCCTTTTCTCCCCCCTCTCCCACCCCTGACTAAGGGGTCTTCTAGGAGGATCACATTTAGACTCATCTGATGGGTGGTTCAAACTGATACCCACTGGCTGTTCACTATGTGCAGCCCATGTTTTAAAACACTGGGTGTGTATCCGTGCATGCTGTGAGTGTTCACACTGGTATGTGTGCATGGGATATAATCTCTATAATCTGGAAAGTGTAGGTGAGACAGGGTCTGTGGGCTTAGAGCAGGGTGAGGGCCTCCAGAAAAAAACAAAGCAAGATAATCCATTGTGGGATCTGCTGTGGCCTGCTGGGGACCTCAGTTTATTTTTCTGACTTTACCCAGGGGCTGCTTTTCCTCCTCCAGCCCTAATCAAGTGATTTGCAACTTGGGCAATTTAGCAAGCAAGCCCAAAACAATGTAGTAAAAACAGGAAGAATTCCATCTGAAAGATAAAATTGCATTTTAAAACCCTATTAGTTAAAAAGTGTTAAGTATCTTAACATACTCTTTAACAAGCAGACAATAACTCAGCCCCCTTGGGAGCAAAGCACCCAGTCTTGAGTGATAGGCTCCAGATCAGAAAGCTGCTATCCTGGGAGGAAATCAGAGCAGTAAATTTCCTGTAAATAACCCGGAGTGCTAATAGGAAACTAATGTCTCTTCAAAGATAAACATTTTAGGACCACTTAGCAGGTGTACATCCCTAGCCCTTTGTCTCTCAACTGCCTATAAATCCCCTAGACAACGCACCACCCTGGGGCTCTCTTGTCCCCTCCCTGTGAGCCAGGAGCTCTGTCCTCTCCCTTTATCTCTAAATAAGTCTTTCCCTGGGTCTCCTACCTTCAATGTTTGTGAAGTTCATTCTTCGATTCAGTGAACAAGAACCCCGGCATCATAGGTTTGGGTAAGAATGGCAGTGACAAGGAGTGAGGTGGAAGTTAACCAAGAAGATTTCACAGCCAAGGTACTGGGGGCGGGTCTGGGGCTGCAGGGGTGCAGGCGAGCTGGGCACCCACCCACCCCACAGCATCTCCTCCCTGAGGTTTTGTTTGTCAGCGAGTGAAGGGGAGCAGCTGTGCCAGCCACAAGGCCTGGCTCTCTGGCAGAGGTCAGTAAATAATTGTGCATGAGAGATCATGGTAACAGCCACTATTTATTAGGCACTTAACATTTATCAGGCCCTGTGCCAATTGCTTTATCTAATTTTCAGTTAATCCTCCCAGTTAATGAAATGAGAGAGGCTTGCTATCCGTTTTACAGACACAGAAAGAGAAGCTTGGCGAGAAGCATCCTGGCTCACACAGCCAGTGAGGGCAGCACTGTGCTTGTAAAGCCTACAGTTAAAACCCAGGTGCTTAGTGTCAGCTTCTGCCTTTGCCACCCATCTCTTTGCTTGCAGACCAGTTGTATGACTGCTTCAAAACTGAGGAAGGGCTAATGGAAAGAAGGCTCCTTGTCACCATGTCCCCAACATACCATCTCATTATAGGCTGGGACAGATTTAGAGCACGGGGAGGGTGGTGCCTCTAAGCTAAGGCCAAGTAGGTCCACCATTGGAGGAGAGCAAGCCTCAGCTGGCAGAGCTGAGCTATCTATCCATGAGCAATTTTCCTGCTGGAGGACAGCAGGGGAGCCACCCCAGTGTGGTGACTCTTCCTGTCCTGCCCGCCTCTGGCTTGGCCTGTTAAGGTCACTCTCAGGGTTCCTGGCCACCCTGGGTCCACCCTTCTGAGAGGGACAGAGTGGGCCTGGAATGGCCTTACAGTTGAATCTGGATCTGGTTCCAACATTAGGTCTTTACTTCGGGTTCTTCAGGCTCTGGAGTGGTGTGTTTCTAGCTCTTACTTTCACTTATCTGAGGTCTTCTCTCTCTGGCATCTCAGGGAGCTTGGTCCACACCCAGCAAGGCCAGCTCACTCGGGAAGGGTGAAGCTGTACCAGAACAGCAGCCCAGCCTCCTCAGCTACCAGGGCCCCCAGGTGCCTGGGGAGGGCCCTCTGGTGTCTTGGAGACATGGAGCTCTCACAAGAGTCGGGCAGCAAGAGATGGCCCTGCCTCTGGGTCATCCTCTGCTTTTCCCACTGGGCAGTGGGTGGTCTATAGCAATTCTGATCTCAGTGGGGGCCTTCTGAGCCGGGACCTCTGCTATGCCCAGCTTGCCCTAATTAGTTTCCTTCTTTTATCCCAGCACCAAGTCAAGCTGGTTATTGACGAGCATGGAGTTTAAGGCACCAGTGAGCCCCCTTAGGCTGATTTTATCCTGATCCGAGCAGTCCTGTCCCAACTCCAAAAAAGCCTGCTAGCTGCCCAGCTCACACCTTCCAGGTCCTTCCAGCACTTGCTCTTCCTTCATTTAGGGGATTTAATGCTTCTGCATGTCCAACACTGAGACATGGCTGCCCTCAGCCCCTTTGGTAATAGGACAAGTATGTATGAACAAGATACATATTCATAACTTACCCACATATCCAAAGTAGGTAAGTCTCATCGCATGCCATGTGGCATTGTATAAGCTGTTGTAAACAACTGAGACTCCATTAAATGGTCATTACACAATTACAAGGAAATAGTGTGTAAAATTCAGTGGTATTAACATGATGCTTGAGTGTCCAAACATCGACCTTTGATCTTTCTGCTTACCTTCCTTTCCCATAAATTTATCACTTTAAGCAAAATTGGTTGATCTTCTTCTTCTGTTATTCCTGGGCTGGTAATTAAAAAATCTACATCATGCCCAGTTTTCTTACCCCTGGTAAAAATAGATAATATAAAATGGAAACAAATTAGATTTTTGGTTCTCAATTTTTAAAATCACCTTTGTTTCTATGCCCTATGTTTAAGGTTTGCAACACAAAATGCTCAAGACCTTTTTGAACAAAATGTCCTTGACTGCACAACTGTAATCCTTGCAAAATAAACTGATGTCACAGAGAAAAATCATACTCTGCATATGACTGTGTGGGGGGGTAAAAACTAACAAAGGAGAGGGTTTTCTCTACACACTCACACAGGCACGCCCACCCACCTACACATACACACAGAGACAAGCCTGACTGTGGCCTGACCAAGAACTATATTCATGTAATCCAAGGCAGGGCCCTTGGAATCATGACACAGATGAAGGGCATTTTTTAAAAAATTGATCTCCCTGTCCTACTTTGTCTCTCACTTCAAGCCTGGCTTGCCAGAAAGGCTGACAGTGAACAGGTAAGAGGACCATAGGGTGAGTTGGAGGAGGGTGTGGGAGGGAAGGAATCTTTCTGAAATGCAGCCCTCAATATCCAACAACTGCACACAACTCTGTGAAGAGTTCATTCATTCATTCATTGACTCAGCCAGTATTTCTTAGGCACCGGCTTTGTGCCGTGCTCCACGCACTGACTCTCAGCACTCATTTCAAAAAACTTAGTGAGGAAGTCATGCATACAAACAAGTTACTTGGCAGCTTTCCAGGGAGCACTGAGGAAGGGTGTCAGCATGGAGGAGGAGGGAGTCAAGGAAGGCTTTCTGGAGGAGGTGGCAACTGAATTGAGTTTTAAAGGATGCAGAGAAGTCAGCCAGGTGATAACCCTTCCAAGCAGAAGGGTCTACTGAATGGACACAGAGACAAGAAACAGCAACTTATGTGCAGAGAATGACAAGCCACGTGGGGTTGCTGGGGTTCAAGTGAGGTGCAGGAGCCAAGGCTGCAGAGAGAGGCTGGCACCAGATCACCAGAAACCTACGGGCCAGGTTAGGAAGCCTGAGGTTCTGAACAAGGAGAGCCACTGCAGGTGTTAGAGCAGGGGAGGCAACAGCTGCCCTTGTCACTTACCTGCGGAATCCTCCTGTCATGGTGACGAAGGCATCAGGCAGAAATGCCCAGACAGCCTCTTTAACCAGCACGCTGACTGCCTCTGCTTCTTCTCTGGTCACATGGCTGACAAGGTCTTCATAATAGAGGAAGCCTGAGAGGCCATTGGATAGGTCAGTGGAGAGAGTGACACAGCTCATGTGAAATGACCAGCCCTCAGTGGGAGGGGATTCTACCCCCAAATATTGCTAACGTGACCACAGGCATCAACTCCACACTGTTTCCATAGAGACAATCATCTGTTCTCTTGACTGTGAATTGTTTATGGTAACAATGACTCTTTGCTTTCTGACTGAGAGGCTTACAGTTTTCTGAGAGAGAGATAATATTTCATATCCCTCTAAAATCGAACTGTTCAAATCTGACTTCCCATTGAAGAACCAGCCTTCTTGATCATTAAGCTGTACCCTATTATTTGAAAAGGGTAATGCATAAACATTTAGAGGTTCAGAATTGGAAGGTGATGGATCTATTAAAAAATTAAAATCAAGAAGTGGAAGAGGGTGGTAGCTTTGTGTCTAAAGTGAGGTAGAAAACATCTTTGGTGTTTTGGCTTAATGCTCTTTGTTGCACCACCCTGAATAAATGGAAGTTCAAACAGAGTTGTTATGAAGAGCTGTTATAATAACTTGGTTATTCCCACAAATCCAAGAAGAAAAGAATGGAGGGAAGGAGTAAAGGAGATGGGAGCTTTATCTCTAAGAATTGGGATGAAGTTCTGGAGGGGAGGTGAGCAAGTGTACTTGGAAGATTCACAGACTGGGGGATGTCTAATTATCCTTCAATAGAAGGCACTGTCTCTTATTTAGAATCCCCCAAAGGGAGTCATTCAAACTCTGCTTGGATATTTCTAATAGTAGGAACTCTGATACCTTCAGAGGCAGCCTACTTCCTAGCTGTAAAATCTGTTTGGACCATTCTTTTTTCTTTCTCCCCAGCTTTAGTGAGGTATAATTGACAAATAAAAACTGTATACATTTAAGGTATATAAGGTGATGTTTTGATAGAGGTAGACATTGTGAAATGATTACCACAATCAAGCTAATCAGCATACAATGGAATCTTTTTCAACCTTAAAAAAGAAGGAAATCTTGTCATTAGCAACAGTATGGATGAAACTAGAAGATGTTATGCTAAGTGAAGTAAGTCAGAGACAGGAAAGTAAATAGTGCGTGATCTCACATGTGGATTCTGAAAAAGTTTAATCTTAGAAGCAGAGAGTAGAAAGCTGGTTATCAGGGGCTAAAGGATGGGGGAAATGGGAAGATGCTGATCCAAGGGTGCAAAGTTTCAAATATGCAGAATGAGTAAGTTCTGGAGATCTGATGAACATGCTGACCATAGTCAACAATACTGTGTAGTATACTTGAAATTTGGTAAGAGAGTTCTCACCAAAAAAACAAGACTGGGGACAGTTCTTTCTTTCGATTACTTTAATTTTTTAATTGATTTATCACCTTCCAACTCTGAATATGCATATTTTGTGAGATGATTTCACAGTTTTCAAGGATAGTTTGCTGCGTATGGAATTTTAGGTTCACTATTATTTTCCTTTACATATAGAAGATAATTGCTCCAATGTTCCTACATCAATTGCTGTTGCCAAGAATCATGAGGTCAACCAGATTCTTTTTCCTTTGTAGATAACCAGTTTATTCCTCTCTGGAAAGTTTTAGGAACTTCTTTTTATTTCACTGAAGTTTCTCCATGGGTTTTAAACTGCCAGCTCCCCAAAATGTCTATTGAAAGTAACTTTTTTGATAAAGCAAAGCTAAGTTTATTAAATCTACTGCAGTAAGGGAGGTAGTGTCATCACCTTCAGAGGATCTTAGCATGTCATAGAAGAAGAAAGCCAGGGCATGATATTTGTAGGGTTTGGGGTCAGCGCTCCTGTGATTTATGGCAGGGAACTGATTGGGGTTGGGCAAAGCTCGTAACGGTGATTTAGGCTTGGCGGACACAGTGAAGCTACAAAGAATTATTAAGAGGGGAGATATATTAAGTGTTCTTACCACAATAAAAAGATCAATTTAATAAAATTAAATAATTTCTGAATGCAAAAAAAAGAAACCCCAACAATGCTCCATTAGGTTCTTTTTTACCCAAAAAATGTCATTGTGAATGATATTCAAAATACAACTCACTTGGTAACCATAAAACTCCTGTACTTACTCAAGATGAACATAAACCAAAGACATAATTAACAACAATTTCTTTAAGAACGTGCACAGATATCAGGAATGAATGTGAAGATACTACGATAATTTGTTGACACCCATGAAACAACTTACTCGGCTTTCTTTTTTGGTGTGGTGGAGAGGTTCCCTTATAAGAACCTTATAAGAAACTTATTATACCGCATAGTGTTATGTGTGTGGCACTATATTTCAGACATTGTCTGTTCAAGGCCAATGTGGCATGTGAATACTCAAGCCTCAAGGAACTAAAAGTGCAATTATAACTAAAACTGAATTAGGTTTTCCATCTGACACATGGTTGTACCCTTTGCAGTATCCTAAGCTATTCCTACTGGCAATTTCATTCATCATAGTCCTATTACAAGGGATCCATATAGCCAGGTTTTTTAAGCTATTTAAGTGTGATAGTGAGACATTCTCTGAGTTCTACACAAAGCAAGGGCATTAAACAGTCTGCTGGCAGTCATGACTCATTAAATGAATAAAAGCTGCTTCATTCCCTGCGTTAAATAGCCCATAGAAGAGAAAAATCCAGTTTACAAAGCTGGGGAATTAGAAACTACTTAGATCCTGAGCTCATTTTGTGTCATTCAGTAAGGGTTTTTATCTAAGTTAGACATTACCTTGTCTCCCAGTTTCTAAGAGTTGAGCATTTTTACTCTCATTCCAAGCCATTTATTCACTCCTTAGGTTTAAAACTTATGTAGATTTCTTTTTAATGGCATCACCAGAGCTGGTGTAATCATGTTTATTAAATATGCAACTTCAGAAGCCCAGAAAATGGGCTTTTTCCGTAGATTTTTTTCTTAGACATCTTTATGTCCTATGTGGCATCTTATGCAGCTTATCTGCAGTCCCTCCCAAGACTAGCAACTTGGTGAAAAATGAATAGGACTCTTCTGTGAGTAGCATGATGCAACCCACCAAGATTTATTTTGCTTCCTCCACTGTTGCTTGTTTTCTAACCATCACTCAAACAAAAGATAGCTTTTTCTTTTTCTCTGGTCTCCTCTTGTGGAAGATGCCTCCACTTTCATGTCATTAAAAATGATAACTTCTTCATTCTCAGTAACTCAGAAGCCATTATGCTCCAGACTGGCTGTGACTCCCTTTTGAACCCCAATTACGCTGTATTTCTATTGCATGTTAAACATAAATATTTAAAACATGTACAGTTTTTTTGACCTTATATTGACTTTTCTTCATTAAAAAAAATTTATTGGACCATCCATAAGCGGAAGTGACCGAGTCACCACCAACCTCCGGGAGGCCCCACCGGGCTTTCAGTGACCTGCCTCGACACAGGCTCTCTCCCAGGCTCACAGGTCCTGGTGGGTAGATCAACTCTGTGTGTAGATTTCCACGGTTTCCCTTCTCTTTGCTGGTGTTTTGTACTTTCTGGAGAACCACTTTTCTATTAGGCAATAACTCTTGTTTTTTCAAACACTCTTTACTCCCCACTCCTCCTGTACATTTTGTGTCCTGGACTCCTCATCCATGCATCTTACCCAGGAGACACATCCAGGCCCCAAATGCCTGGAGTCAGCTCAGCACACACTAGATCAACAGTGCAACCTGGTTTGACATCTGGATGAAGGAACGATAATAGCCACCAAGCACAGCGTGTTTTTCTATGCCAGGCAAGGTGCCAGGGACTTCGCTTGCATTATCTGATTTCTTCTCTAAGGGCACATTACCTTTCTTTCATAGATGAGTTAACTTAGATTCAAAGATTTTTAACAAACTTGCTCAAGAGGAAGAAGTTGGGGAGTCCTGGAGGCAGGATTTGGATCCAGGCCTCTCTGATTCCAAAAGCTTGTGTTTTTAACCATGGCATGAAAAGAGGCCAATCAAGTGACTCAGCTCACTAGTTCAACTTTCATTAAAGTTCAATGAACTTAAAGCTCTACCACAACCTGACCAGCCCAGAGCAATAACAGAGGAGTTGTAGGCGAGACAATTTACCTGCTTTCTGCATTTGTGTGAACTTCAGGGTTTTGTCCGACCTTATTTTGCTCAGAGTTCTGAAACCCATTCTGAACCATTTCTCAGCTGTCTTCAATCCCACTCCAAACACAGAAGTAAAGAGCTGAAACACAGGGTAAGGCACACCTTTGGTTTCTAAAATAATCATTATGACAATGCACTGATACTTTTCAAGGTCTGGGATTAAGAAAAAATATAAGCAGATCTCTGACCCAGTTTCTCCTGAATAGGACAATGGGATGGGTGACAGTAGTTTTTTAGAAGCATTTTGGTTTCAGGAGGATTCTTTCCTGACATACAGTATTACTAAATGAAACAGAAGTGAGGAGGAAGGTTCTGGCATCTGCATAGGGCTTCCATACAATTTGATGGCAGGATTGCCTGTGCTGTTGATGCGTGACAACAGTTACCCCTGTCAGGCACTCCCCTTTGAGAAGTCTCTTACACACATTCATGCTCTGCGTATTTACCCTCACAGTTAAGGGGGGATGCACGTGTAGGTGTATACATCTTCTACTAACACACAACTGCTAAATGGCAGAGCCCAGACTCAGACTCAGTCTGTCTGCACCTGTTAGGCCTGTGCAGCACTCTGACCTGAAGGGATTGGCACAAGTCCCTGTGTCTTGCACCTCCAAGCTAGGGAATGTTGGCAGGTCATAAACCCTGTTTCAGAGTAGACAAGGTTGCTGTAAGGAGCTTTACAGCACAGGTTTGTTTTGTCCCATGTTCCTAGTGCCCCCTCGATATTTGTACCCATGAGTGAAACACTCCTGGAAGATGAGGTTATCTGTATCTCACCCTAGCATGTCAATAAGCTCACATTTACATAGACGTCTGCATCCTAGATCACCATTACAGACTGAGTGGCGCCTCCACCTCCTGCGAAATCCATAAGCTGGAGCCCTGACCCCCCAGTGTGATGGTATTTGGAGGTAGGCCTTTGGGAGGTAATTAGGTTTAGATGAGGTCATGAGGGTAGGTCCCTCATAGTGGGATTAGTGCCTTTATGAGAAGAGATACCAGAGAGCTTTCTCTCTATCATGTGAGGGCACACTGAGAAGGTGACTATCTGCAAGCCAGGAAGAGAACCCTCACCACAACCCAACCACACTGTGTTGGACTTCCAGCTTCCACAACAATAGAAAATAAATAATGTTTAAGCCACCCAGTCAATGGCATTACGTTATGGCAGCCCAAGCTGACTAATGCAACTACTTAAATAATAGGGTCAACTGAAAAACCATTTTCAATAAATATATGTAAAATCACCTACTTTGAAAGACTGATATCGTTCATCATTTAACACAGCTTTAACCTCAGAACATTCTCCATCTTCAATAATTTCCTGCATGGACAGTTGAAAAATACTTTAAATTAGTGATGAACAATCACAGTCTGAGACTCTCAAATTCACTGGTCTAGTAGCTTGGTTTTTCATGAATGTACACTCATTGCATGCAGGATGTTTCCCTAGTTGATCTGGAGAAAACAAGACAATTCCCTGTAATCTTGAAAATCCCAGGTCATTATATAAGTAGTCCTTTACAATCCTGAGGGACAAAGGTACAGAATGTTAGCATCCAAATCTAAAAACACCAGACCAAAATACTCACTGACAAAAGTGTGTCTACATATTTGTGATAATTTTGTTTTCAGTGGATATGTACTGTTACAAAAGGACTTTTCATTGGAGCAGGTTACTTCTGGACCCATTGAAAAGCCAATCCAAGTTCAGTTTCTTATGATGTCTAATTTAGACGCACCACCCTACTCTAAATAGAGTTGGGATTATTTTCCTGGAATCATTTACCTTGCACTTTCACTATACTGAAACTTACTCTTGGATGACCAACTTGCCTTGCTGGGGAGGCCTCAATCATTATTAAATAAATCAACACCCATCCCAGTCTCTCTTCTTGGAACACACAGGTAGAGATGCAGAATCAGCTCAACTGCCCTTCACATCCACTAACATTCTGGAGGGTGACATCCCATGAAAGGAACTGAGGTCCATTATGCAGCCTGAGTTTGAAGTCAGACCATCCCCCATTGTCAAACTTTTGTGTCACGTGAGTCTTTCCTTATGATTAATAATAATAATACAGGAGGGTCTTTTCCATCCAGCTGGCCCCACATAGCTCCAGCTATGATAATATTGGAGTATGAATTATAAATATATATGCATTTCTATCTATCACCTACCTCTCCATCTATCCTACATCTACATAGTTGACAGGGAAGTCTATTAACTGCACTTTCTCTCTCTCTCTACCTATTAGGAAGTAGGACAAATCACATTTCACCCTTACCTCTATTATATACTTCACTTTGTCTTCCAAGCAGGGAATGTCTTCTGTGTCCTTCATACTGATGATCGTAAATGGCAAAGATTTAAGTACAGAAGCTGCTCTCATAAATGCCAGATAAGAGCCTTCATTTTCTCTAAACTCATAATTTTCAGCCAGTACCTCAAGGGCATCCTGAAGAATAAAGCAAGATGAGCAAACACCATCTGTTTCCTAGACTCTGAGCCAACAGTCACTTGCAAACACCTCCTTGTTCTCCTTTGATGTGCTGGTACGCCTCATGTTTCCTTGAAGGGTGGGTTGGGTCTCCCTTATCTTTACGCCCCTCCCTTGTCAACTGAGTAAAATTAAATTTAAAAGACAGGCCACAGAGTGTTTTACAAGGACACTTTGCTGTTCAGGAATGATTTAACCCAAACACCATCTCATACCCATTGTATCCTATCAGTCATTACTCAGCACAATCCTTCCTTCCCTCTTTGCTCGTTGGCTTTCCCAGCAGCCTGTGGCCAGGATTCTGCCTTGATCACTCGACATCCCCATCTCTTAGCTTGTATATAAAACACAGTCAGTACTTAACATAGGCTTGTTGAACAAACAGGTGTAATCATAGATGGCACAACCCGAGGCTGGGGTTATTTAAGGTCAGGCATGTTTGCATTTCTAGCAGAGGAGGAAGTAGCTGCAGCTGTGTGGCCCAAAAGTTACAATTTCCTGGTCTTCCTCACACATGTGGGGTTGGAAGTCTAGAAATGAGAAGTTTCATATTTGATATACTACTGCATGTCGTATCCACCTGACTATTGATTCTAGGCTGGAGGACAAGCAGTTGTGGGCTTATTAGGGTCATTTGAAACAAACTTCACATCTGGATGGGGCTTTAGAAATGATCTAGCTAATTTCTAATTGAATGAATGAGGAAACTGAGGCTCAGAAAGAGAAATTGACCTGCCCAAGCTAGTTAATATCAGAGAGGCAAGGGTCCAGGTCTGCTGTCTCTCAACATTGGTTTCCCAGCAAAGGCTATTCATGCATTATTGCTATTTCTGTGCAATTTGCTGTTACTATGTTTTGGACTAATTACAGCATTTGGATTTTCAGAATATTTGCCTTTGACAAGAGTTATACCCAATAATGACAACTGTCAATAAATAGTGATCTACCATCTCTAAGGAACATAATCCAAATACATCTGTCCATTTCCATGACAGAAGTAGACCCGTTCTTGACAGAAAGAAAAATCAGAGGTCAGGACGGGGCTGGAGGGACGAGTGGGGAGATAACTCTCCCAGATTTTCAGAAAAATTCATAATTTAATTTGAAGATCCATGGAAATAAGCTGCAAGCCCTTCATTTGCTCTGAGTATTGTTGTAAAGCTCCATTACCGTGAAGATCTGGTTACAGTTGTTTAAAGTGGTTCTTCTCTGACACGCATATGGAGAGATCTTTTTTACAGCAAGTAGTGGAGTCTTCTGGGGCTCTGTGTTGGCATTAGCTGAATTGTCTTTTCTTACCTAAACAAATGCATAAGTATCCATGTTTAATAACCATTAATAGTAATAATAATAGATATGTATGAAGAAAACTTGGAGGCAATTAGATGGCAACTGTCTCTGGAAAGAGGATAAAATTGTAGGAGATCCAAATTTTATGTTATTTGCACTTCTAATATTTGAATTTGCTATAATGAACATGTATTATTTTGGAATCACACACACAAAAAAAAACCTGAAAAAGAACCATAGATTAAATCTTCCTTTTCCATGAACTTATATAGTTATGGTCTAAAGCCCCTTCCTGAGACTTCTAGCATTATTGTTAAAGGATTTGGAATTAAGAACTTAGGTTTCTTTACTCTTTTCATTATGACTGATCATAGTAAGGAAAAAATAAAAGAAACCCTATGCTTTTCTGGCTTCCAGACATCAAAGCTTCAATATTTTGAAATATTTGTGTACAGACTTATTCATAAAAATAGCTACCATTTATTAAGTACTAATTGTAGACCAAGCTTTGTTTTAAGTGCTTTACATGTATACTATTCCTATTCTCATAACCATCCTTTGAGGTAGGCACTATTGTCACCCTGTATTATAGAAGAGGAAAACTTGAACTCAGAAAAACTAAGTGACTTACCGAAGGTCACACAGGGAATAAGCAGAGAACCTTGGGAGTAACCCAGATCTGTTGATTCTGTAGCCCATGCTCCTAATCATCAAGCAAAGGGCAATAAAAATCACAACTGTGACACTTACAACAAGCTGGTGTTTTCCTGTCACCTCCACTGGTTTTCCTGCTCCCATACATTCTATCAGCCAGCAGACATCGAGGAGCTCTAGCTGTGCACTGGCTTTTATGTTCTGTGCCTGAAGCCACTCTAGGACATCTGAATCAGAGTTGTTTTCGGCCACAATGTGGGTGACGGAATCACTGCAGGATGCAAGACAAAGTTACCAGCGTGAGGGGCTTTCAAAATCAGAAACTATCCTCTTTCCTGGAGGTGTTTGGGGCATTCCATTCTGATGGAGAAGCACGCACAGTAGACCAGATCATGGGCATGGAGAATTTAAGCCTCCATGCAGGGGAATTTTAAGCTGTTAGAGTAGCTACAGTGGTCTGTCATAGTCACTTGTCAGATGCAAGAAAAATTAAGAAAACATCAGCAAGGTTGTGGTGTTGATGGAAAACCAAGGTTCAGAGAAGATGGAATGTGAAATCGTTCTTAAAGTAGTGCCTAGCACTCAACATGTGGCTTTGGTGTGCCATTTCATTTTTATCTGTAGAAGGCTTTAATACAGTGCCTTTCAAACTGACTATGACCCACAGTTAGAAAGAAATACTTTTTATATCATGATGCAGAATAGAAATAGATATAGATGTAGATATGCTTATAACATTCCACTAAATTGGTCTAACAACCCACTAACAGGCAATGACCAGCCTTTGAGAAATATTGCTCTACATGTTCAAAGCACAACCCTGTGATATAAGACAGGCAGGGATATTTTCCCTAATAACTACTGAGCACTTCTCATGTTTTGGCACTGTTCAGGTACTCTACGTACATCATCTCACACAATACTCATGTACCTCTTCAAGTGAGTGTTACGTGATTCACACTTCAAAAAATGAGTAAATTGAAGAACAGAGAGGTTAAGTGACATTCTGAAGGTCACACAGCTAGTAAATGAAATTGATCTATTTTGCTTATCTTTTTTGGGTCAAGTATGTTATTTACAGTTTTTAACAAGTCTTCACAATTAGCATAATATTGCTGGAAACAATACATTTTAAGCCTCGTTCAACTTAAATACCATTAACCCTTGAACAGCATGCATTTGAAATTTGCAGGTCAACCTATATGTGTATTTTTTTCAGTAACTATATTGGAAAAATATTTTGGAGATTTACAACAATTTGGAACAACTTTTTCTCTAGTTTACTTTTGTATAAGAACAGAGTATAAACATATATAACATACAAAATGTGTTGATGGACTACTTCTGTTATCAGTAAGACTTCTAGTCAAAGTAGGTTATTAGTAGTTAACTTTTGGGGGAGGACAAAGTTATACATGCTTTTTGACTGTGTGGTGAATTGGCACCCCTAACCCCCACATTGTTCAAGCATCTGCTGTAGTCTATGAATCCAGGAGATAGCAAGATGTATATCTAGGCATCAAGAGAAAAATATAATTCTTTCCTTTTTCCTACTTCTCTTCCTTGGCTTCCTCTTTCTGCTTCTCCTCCTTTTGATTGACGCTTGGAGTCACTGGGTATTTTTTGGTTCACTGTTACATTCACTGCCTTAGTTTTCCTGTGGTTGTGGTGGTGGTGGTGGGAGGTGGTTGGGTACCAAAGAAGAAAAGGGAAGTATCTGGACGTTAGTATATTATGTGAAACAGACAGTTAACAATATGTTATAATAAGACATGAGGCACAGACAAGATCAGCAAGGAGTGCGGAGAAGGAAAAGAGCTTGGTGTGAACTCGGATAGGCAGGATGGACTTGTGGAGAAGTGGGCTTTGTGTCCAGTCTTGAAGGATGGAAAGAAATAAAGTACCTTGAAGCCAGAACCGTGGGTCCTCCTGGAAGATGAGTCTCAGAGGCCAGGAGGAAAGGCAGGAACACAGCCTGGATGGGGGTGGAGAGGTTATGATGGGAAGTACAGTAGGCATGGATGAGAGTTGGAAGGGGCAACCATGTTACAGAAGGTCTTAGGAGCCTGCTGAGGGGGTTGGATCTTATTTTCTGGGACTGTGGAGCCAGTGAAGGCTTTTGTGAGCAGGACCTGATAGCATTACTGTGTTATCTATGAAGACTAATCTGGCGCATGCGAGGACCTGGAGGGGAGTGACGGAAGGGCAGGCTGGACAGCTACTTTGGAGAACGAAATGAGCAATGTGGAATGCTTTTTGTCCGGTCTGGTTCCTTCGCAGCAGGAAGGAGGCAGAGGAGACAGATGAGGCACCTCTGGCATTACTTCACCCACAGAAGGTGAAGTGAAGAAGTCAAATTTTACAAACACACATCTGTCACAGTTAAGCAAAACCCTTTTGGTAGAAAGAGGAATTTAGGACATCTGGAGGAAGGGGTGAGGGGGGTGGAATTGAAGTTTATTTCAGGCATGCTGCATCTGAAGGATGGAGGGAGGTACAAATGACAATACCCAGTTGGCAGTTGGGATCTGAGATGGGCGCTGGGAGAGAAACGGGGGCTGGAGTTCAGGGCTGAGACCATCTGGCCGGCAGGATGAGCAGAAACCCAAGCAGAAACACGTTCTGGTAAAACAACATTGTACAAGAGGTGAGGGAAGATGGCTAGCTGCTTCCCTATTCTAGGTCCATATGATTCCAAAACTATTTATAATACATTTCTTGAAAGGTTATTTATGAAAAGTTTAAGAAGATAACAAAAGGAGTACAGAGCTACATAGGAAGTATTATTCCATCTATATTTCTGCCCTTTGGAGGGAAACTTTATTTTTACATGTTAATTATTAATTATATAACATGATTTTAAATATATAATTGAATTTGATATATAATTTATTAAAATATATAATGATAATTATATTTATTGTCTTTCATATTTTGAATATATAATTGAACTTGGTATATTATATATTTTAAAATATGTAATTATAATTATTATCATAATATAATATATATTATTTTTATTATTAATAAGATGTATCTAAACCTCAAAGGAAAAAAGGCATGCTGAAGAGGAGCTGCGGGTTCAGCTTCCAATTTCGGACCCCTCACTGTATGCTCTCACAGCACAGTCCCACTTTCTCTTCACCTGGGATTCCCCAGACACAGAGCTCACACTATTGGATGAGAATCACATGCTTTTCTTATAGAGTTAATGTAAGTGTATTTGTGAATGACGAGTTATATGAAGGAAGACTCTGCTTTAGATTTAAACTTCCAATCCCTGCTCATTAAACAATGAGCAAACAAAACAATTACAATAAAGCACACGCACACGCACACATCAAACAAGCGGAATCTCTTCAGCCATCCACACAGTTCTGCTCAGAGCTCAGTATTGCTTGTCACTGGTTCCCACAAGGTAAGCACAGACATTCAAAGTCAGCGTGCTGAAACTTAGACTGTAATTTGACACCATCACAGTAGTTTAATTTAATAAAAGCATTGGTCTGCACAAAGTTTGTGAAAACTGACCCTTCACCACAAATCAGAAACATTGTCTGGAGAAGAATCTCTGTCCTGGCGCTGGCTAGATGGCCCATTTTCTCATGTTGCCTGAGTTTGGCTGATGCTTTTCTCATGGCTGCCTGCATCCGGACTGCAATGTCCTTCCTGTGCTGGGCTTTACAGACCATTCACAGCCCGTATGGATTTGTTCACTTACAGTTCTGAGCCCTTGGCAGCAATAGCACTAAGGAGTGTGTCCTGCCGACAGTTTCTTACTGTTGCATTGTGGCAGCTATTTGTCTACTTTCTGCTCTGAGTATTCCAGTATTGAAAATATAAATAATACTAGACTCTTACTATGTACCAGACACTATGGTAGGTACATTTCATATATTACCTCATTTAATTGTCAATAACACTGTGAGACGTATTATCACCTCCATCTAAAAATGATAAAAGAGCCTTGGAGACACTGAAAATTCACTCAGCTAATAACTGGTGAAACATGGATTTGATCTTAGTTCTATTTACTCTGAAGCCTGTATGCTGGAATAAACGAGCTACCCCTCTGTGACTTGGTGCTTATTCCATGGCTGCGGGAAGAGCTGCTACTTTTTGCAGAAGGAAATGCCTTTGGACGGGTACCTCAATAATAAAAGACCCTGGTTCTCCCAAAGGGCAGAAAGAGAGCTGCGATAATGCTTCCTGTATAACACTATTAGATACATTGTCCCTGCTGCTGCCACATAGAATTTGTTTTGGTGTCATGTCCAATATCATACAGACTACAATAAGACTACGAGACATGCAGAACTGTTCCAGAAAAGTCTGCAAGATGGAGATGCCACAGGGAGGCTGTCAGGCTCTCCCAGGCCTGGTTTTGCCTAAACCTAGGAGGGAGGCAGGTGTGCTGCGGTGGAGCCCTGGACTCATCTTCCAAATTCAGGCCCCTCACCATCCACTCTTACCACCCCTGCTCCTCCATAGTCTCTCTTCGCCTTGACTATCTTTGGACACAGCCCTTCTAACAGAGACATCATGAATGCCTAGGGAAATGAGGGAGGGGGTGTGTAAGACAATCAACAAACAATAGAACATACAGGCAGCTACAGCAGAAAACGACTAGAGAGAAATACTTCACACTGTTAGAAAAAATAATAACCCCCCCCACACACACACACACTTACTTACATATTCTTACTCCTCATGAGAGTTTCAAGAGGTGGGCAATATAATTTTAGACGAGAAAACCAAGGCTTGAAGGTTACACGAAGCCGGGATTCAAACCCAGCTGTGCATGACTCAAGCAACCTCTTAACGTTCTACTAGACTGGTTAGACCCCTGAGTGAGGTTTTGTTTGTTTAAGAATTGTTGTATATTTTCCCATTTTCTGTCATGACCCATCTATCCTCACTTTTCTAATTAGGGGGGGAAATACACACAAATGTCATTCTTAAGGGCAAAAAACCCAGGGCTGGGGCTAAGATGGTGTCTGCCTTGCCCACAAGGCCAGGGCTTTCTCCTTATGATAAAAGGTGACAGGCTCAGGCAACAGCCCCCAACGTCTTCCAAAACCCCCGAGACCCTGCTGAGGAGGCTGGTCCTGAAAGAGAAGGGGAGTCAGTTCTTTAAGTGCACCGAGTGCCTTGGCTATGACCTGTTAATAATGTCCGGGACTAGGTCTGGGATGACTTGAAGCAATTATAGCAATTCTGATCTAGGATTTGTCCCTCAGCTTCCCACAGGGAAGAAGATACAGGGTCTCCTCTTCCAACTAATGCTGAACTGAAAAGTGCTTGGCTTGGTCCTTAGTGTCCCTGAAGGCAGGGACACATTATAATCTACCTGGTTATAATGTGGATTATAATCATGCCTGGTGTCCAGCACACAGCCAGTTTCATAGTAATGGTCAATAGATAGCCATTGGTAGAATGAATTAAATGGATTAATCAATAGCTCTAAAGGAATGTTCCTTAAACTCTAATGTCTCCCGGAGACACCCAGGACGCTGGGTTAAAATTCAGATGTCTGAGCCTATTACCAGAGATTCAGACTCAATAAACCTCTCCTAGAGCCCAGGAATATGCATTCTGACAAGCTCTGGTGGTGATTCTGATGTAGTCAGTCAGTTCTAGTTATCTAATAGTGCCTCACAATTATCCCAAAGTGTAATAGCTTAAAAAAAGGCAACAATTTTATTATACCTTGGAATTTTGTGGGTCAGGAATTCAGGCAGCTTGGCTGGGTGATACTTCTGTTCGGTACTGCACTGAGGGAGTACTTATGTGCCATATGGCACCACAACTCTAGCATCTTGGTGAGGATGTCTGGGAGGCTGGGTTCAGCCACATCAACACAGCGTCTCTCAGAGAGGACTCAGACTGCTTCCGTGAAGATCTGGGATCC